ACTTTCATATGTCCCGTCTGCAGCATCTGCCACAGACCAACAGGATTACATGTTACCCGTCATCCCGGAGTCAGAACATAGTCCACCCCGGACGTGTTCCGGCATGGTGCCTTGGTTCGCATACTTTCTCTTTGTATGATGCTGGGTTTAAAAAAAGAAAAACACCGATCATGTTACCACGCAAGCCGGCTGACGTCCCACAAGATATCTGGGAACTGGAGCAGCCATCCATCCTGGGCATGGCGTACGGGAGATGTGCGGACTCTGACGAGGACTTACCGTCGTCTGCCTTTGTTGCAGCCTCACCTACCTCGTCACGCTCCCGATCGCGCTCCCGGGATTTGACCGCAGCTACAAATTCAGATCCAGTGATTCCCAAAGCCTCGAGAGTGGGGCAATCAAGAGCCGAGGTCTCCCGGGATGGGCACCCGCCGGCCGATACACCACCTGCCATGGAAGATTGCCCTGCGTCTGATCCAGCACCTGCTCCTGTTCCCAGTCCTGATCCCGGCCCTGGCTTTGATCTCGATGCTGACGCCACGGATGCTACGGACGATTCAGTGGAACTCATTGATAGGCCGGCGGTCTGGAGCGACTTGTGGAATATTAGCCGGGCGGAAAATGAGCTAGCCTACCAGCTCCGACTGCCTGCAGATGGACTTCTCCCCAACACGCCGGTCTCGAGCGCTCATGTGGTGGAACACTTGGCATACCGTGTATGTCGGCAAGGCTTCTGCTACTCCGAGGACTTCTGCACTTTGGCTACCCTTCTTCCAGAGCAATCACATGTGAAGCGACGGCAAACAACCACTTCAGACGGCGCCACAGGAGGGCTGCAGCGTGCTTTTCTTACAGGCGCTTACTCGATAGGTGGCGGCGGTATCCGTGGTATTCAGACCAACACTGGTCTGTTTCCTTGGCTCACTACCTGGCTCACCTCAGTGATTCGAGGCACTAAGAGTGATCACCAGTTCAGCAGTTGCGCGTTTTTGGTCAACACTTTACATTATATGCATCGCGACACTGGGAACGCACCGGGCTCCACCAATCTGCTGATTCCATGCAACCGCTGGAAAGGAGGCCAACTCTGGTTGGCAGACGCGGGTGGCTCGATCAGATTGGAGGAGAATGGGCCGCCAGGTATACTCTTGCCGGTGGCTCGACCTTACCTCCAGCTGAATCCGGACATTTTGCACGCCACCTACCCCTGGAGTGCTGGCGACAGAATCCTTTTGGTGGCCTACCACGCCAGAGCAGTGGACAAATTGCCGGAGGAGGGGCACGCTCAGCTTCGTCGTCGAGGCTTCTACTCCCTCCAGTTCGACTCTACAGACCGACACCGCACTTTGAACCACGGTGCCGGGCCGAGTGACGACTGAGACAGGGATGGTGCTGAGCAGCGAGCGGGCCACTGAGTGTACATAGCAGCGGACAGGCTGAAACTCTGTGCTGATACCCTCTAGAACCTTCTGAGGCTGTTCTCTCGGTTTGCACTTTGTATGAACAATCACTTACATCGACTTGGAACGCTGTCACTCCTCGATGCTTAACGGGCCCCTCGGGGCGGGGCATCGAGCTCTGCTTCTCAGGATGGTGCATCAACCCGTGATGCGTCGCTATGCGACCGGGCTCAAAGCCTGACCTACTTATCCTGTCGCACAGCTAGGACCTCCTTAGCGGCGTGTAAAACGAAACGAACCACCACCACCACCACCACCACCACCACCACCACCACCACCACCACCACCACCACCACCACCACCACTCCTACTCCTACTCCTACTGCTCCTACTCCTACTCCTACTCCTACTCGTACTCCTCCTGCTCCGACTCCTGCTGCTACTACTACCCAAATGCCTAATAACCCACCGCCTGACATCCCCAAGGCCATGGTTCCTCGTGCTTTGGCTATATGATTTTTTTTAGATTGTCACTGCGCATGTCCTACTGTGAAAATGTTGAGTGTTTTTATGTGCTGCGGATGTTTTCGCAAGCTACAATACAAGGGTGTCCACCTCCTCTGATCCACTCCTTGAAGCACAGGTGAGGTGGATCATTGCTGGCAGCGGGGGGTTAGAGCGGGGGAGGGGGGTTAGCATACATGCATAAATGCATAACTACATGAACAGACAAATTCTTGCATAACTAAACACATAAACATCAAATCCAGAGAAGAAAAAAGACAAATATGTAAGATATATATATATATATATATACATATACACAGACATTTATTCTGTAAGTACAACTCGTCACCAGCGCAGCGTTAACGTGGGTTCCTATGACGGGCGAAATCAAATTATCTAATTGCGGGTTACGACTCATACTCGTCTTCAAGGCCTTTGTCCACAGGTCTTGAATCTCGTGCAACATCACATGGAAGGATTGTAAAGGCTTCTAGAAACTTCGAGAAGCAAGGCCGTCTTCGTTGATGTTGAGAATAATTGACTTTAAGGCCCTCAACCGAAGCTTGAAGATTACAGGATTTTCGGGAAGTCTTCATTTTTCTGTTTGGGTATACTGAGTTCACGTCGTTGAGATAGACAAGGAAACCATATCCAATCTGAAGAGTTCCGCTGTGCTTTACCGGAAATCTTCAATCTTCAGCGTGCGCATTGAAGCAGCGACGTGTCAGATAGACACCTATTATGTAGACTGAGGATATCAGCAGGCCTTCAACTCTTCAACCTTCAAGCTTTAGTTGGTCGTCGTCAACATAGCGAGGTACACCGTAATGCCATAGTCTTGGGTACTTTGAAGATGTGCGGGAAGGCCTCCTCAAAAATCTTCAATCTTCCGCTGGGCATGTAAGCACGACTGTATGAACGATAGGTAAAGACACATACACAGCCCAGAGGTGTGCAAGAACGGCCTCTAAGCCCAGAAAATGTGTGCTACATGAACTAAAAGATTGCGGGAGGCATCACGATAGTCTTCCACCTCCAACTTTAAGATGCATGTACTACACGTAACGGCTTCTAAGGTCATGACACATCCCAACGGGCATAGTATGAATGGTGAGTTTCTGACGAGCTCAACCTAAAGATAGATCCGGAAACAGATAATTCTTCATGGAAAACTTCCGACATGCAGAGCGGGATTGCAGAGGTTTGTGTCGTAACGGAGTGGTTGTATTGCAAAGTGGATTAACGCAGACAGGAAAGGCCACTGTTTATAAGGGTTTACAAGGTAGATCCGAATAGCTTGCTGTTAAGACTCCTATGCAGGTTTACACTAGTGTAAGGGTCGAGCAGGGATGTGGAGTCTTCTTTGGTAGAGTGGGTGTGGCTTATGCATGTAGTTGGGAACGCTGCAAGGGCCTGAGTAGCTGGATCTCCAAAGATCGCGTGACGCATCTGGCTATATGTGGTGCATTGACCTTGCAGGGAGTATTGGGGGCTTCGCAATCACACGGCTGGAATCCTCGGGAGTTGCAGAAGAAACACGAATGAGGGGTTGTAGTGGATATAACCAGCTTTCTTTCCGGTCTCATTGTGTGGGCTCTACATACATGGTTTCTACATATTGGCATATCTTCGATGCAGGTCTCTTAGTCCGGAGTATAGGGTGATGCGGGAGGGTGTCCGAGCCTGGGCAGGCAACAGAAGCTGCGCAGGAGGCCTGACATGGCAAGCTTCTGTCGTAGCTCTCGCGTTTCCATAGAGTCGCAGTCGGAGCAGTTTAGCAGACTTTGAGGGCAGATTACGTAAGTGCAGTGTTGGCTCATTCTCGAGTGATAAAGCCGTGGGGAAGCACGAATCGTGAAAGGACATTTTTGTAAACTATCATCAGTTTTTGCTACTTTGCTTGAAACAGCAAGCTCATGTTGGCAATTTTAGATCCACATCGGCTGTCGTCATTACGTGTGGTCTTCTCTGAAGCAGAGGTGTTGTGTCGTGAGGAACCGGTTGTGATCGTGCCACAGTCTTGTTTTGCCGTGGGAAACTGTATCCACTCATTTTGATGCATTGCTGCCCTGTTCGAGTTTGCAAAGTTTTCTCGGAGGTGTAAAATTCGACGATTTAAAGTTCAAGGGGCAGTTTGAATCAAAGGAAGTGTACATACTGGTCATGGCAGTACAAGGACGGCATCATCATGACTGCTATCCACTATCGTGAGACGATGCCGAAGACAACTTGCCGCCTACTGGTAGCACGGAGATCTGTACAAAAATGTCGGATGAGGGATTTTGCACCCAAAGACCTCGGTAAAATTTCATGTTGTTGAAGGTCATCAGAGCACAAGGAAGAGTAACACAACAACGAGGGAAATCACCATGTCAATTCGGCAGCTGTGAGGGAAGGTTTTACGCATTGCAGTTGTGCGAAGGGAAAATGCAGATAGTGGTTATGTTGCTGTGGTAGCACGAAGCTTCGTCATGACCTAAACTGCAACGAGATTTGCAGAAGGGAATGTGATAAGACAGCCGCAGGCAACCAATTGATAAGATAATGCTGCAGAGCGGAACACAATACGACAAGACAAGAGCATGAGCATCGGGGCTACAGCAACTGCAATACAAGATGCATGTCAGTAGAAACATCTGTTGCACCAAAACAGCAGACTGACGCTTGAAGAACTGCAGTTTGTCAGACGCGTGAGCACGGGGGCGAGTGCGAAACGCAGTCAGAAACAGTTGTCATTGCAGCTAGGTTCGTGGGAAGTTCAATACAAGTAGGTACGCTCACAGCAGACTTAGGAAGGCTGCCCACGGTAGCAAATCTTGAACAGGCCGGGGTAGGAGGCGGTACACCAAGTCTTCGAACAGCAGGGCAGCCGTGATGTCAGTAACACCGTCCGCCCTCTGCGTCGGCAGGCGCACGAGTAGGACTTCTGCAAACAGCTGACAACTTGTTGATGGAACAGGGGCCATCTGCCAAAAGTTGCGCTGAACATGGCTTTGTCCTAGATTCCAGCGGGGATGGCGACTCTGCGCCGTTTCGCAAATTCGTAGCAGCGAGACTGCTGTCAGAATGCTGGTGTAGGCTGCAGACTGCATCATGACAATGCCGACCCTGTTGGCCGAGCCCGTCCTGAGCTTGATCTTGAAGGCCATCCCCAAGCCCTGTAAACCTGCAAACGTCCTGTCTGAGAGTCACGCATGCTTGAAGACCAATCTTAGCCGAACGAAGCTGCAGGTACCGTTCATCGTTGGCGGGGTGGTTGCCAGCTGAGCACGATTCGGAGACCAAGGGGTAAATTGCCATTTTGCGGCGCTCGAAGGTCTTGATCCTTGTGCTCGTGACATCTGGAGACTATCAGTCTGTGGATCTGACAAAACCTTCCAGCCTCTTCAATCCAGCCCACCACCAAGCAAGGCCCTGCCAGGCCACAGCGGCATTCCACCTGCCGTTCCTTCGCCGCGAGCTTCCAACCGAGGATGACCTCGCATTGACCAGCGCAGTCTACGCGACTTTCATGTTCCTCTGGGTCTGTGCCTAAGCTTGTGTGGGATGGTTGCGTTGTTGCTGCTGGTCTTGGAACTCCTTGGATCGGGGCTAAGCTCATGGAACTCCTGCACTACATCTCAGTTTTCGTGGTGGTGCCGGGCTGAGCATGAGTGGTGAGTCTCAAGAGAGGAGCTCCGAGACTAGAGCCCTTCAGTTTGAAAGCTCTTGAACCCGTGACCTAGCCCGCATTGCTTGGCTGTGCATCCGGCTGAGGTCTACACTGCGGAGACCTGGTACTTCAAGCACTATGGAACTTCGTCGGTTTCTCAGCTGCCTTTCAAAATCCAAGTTGCAGCCGGTGAAGCAAGAGGCGCACCAACTTTTGTGGCACCTGTGGGCCGGCCGTGATGCTTCAAGGCCATCGGAGTATTGGGTCATGTTCCAAAACTGATTCTCTGTCCGCTCTGCAGCCTACTGCGCGGCTGTCACCTCCCACCTGGGCTCCTTGATCTTTGCATCTTTCCTGATGGTGACTCTGCGGATAGTGTCCCGCACCCAGAATTGGTCCTTGCAAGGTTGAGCATATCACGATGAACGTTCCTTTTTGGACAACAGCTGTGCGAGAGTTGTGCGCACAAGACTATATGTGCGATCCTGCTTTCAATCCAGCCTACTGGCGAAGGCTGCGTACATCCTTGCTAGTGTGGCTTCCTAGGCGTTGGATCGTGAAGGCCTTTCTCAGTGCGCAGGTCCCGATTGTGACCCGAAATTGTCTCTTCAGCGCAGCGGCCGTCCGATGCGTTGAGCCTCCGCCTTCGCCAGGAAGGGTTGAGCACAAACCCGGTCACGAGCTGCATTGCCGAGGACCGCTTCCAGTGCACCACGTCAGTCGCATTGCGGCAAGCGAGTTTTAAGTCGAAGTGCAATCATCCGCCAAAGACCGGGGCCTCAAGACTTTATGTCTACAAGGGTTATGCTGATATTCTACAGAAGAGCCGGAAGAGCTATTGGAAGGGTTGTATTAATATGACGCCAGGCCTTGAGCATCTTTACAGATGCCTGCCTCGCCTGCGTTCAGCGTATCCTCGACTTAACCAGCCAGGCACCAGCTGGTTGACTTGTTTCAAGAGATGGGTTTTGTTGTTTTCTCTTTGGATTTTGGTGGTTTTGGGTTCTGGGGTTTTGGGTGGTCTTACTGGGCACAGGCAACTGTTTCACTTCCCTTCCTTGGCTTCCTCTTGTACAGTCAAGCAACCTAATGTACTGAAGCGTCAGGAGCTACCCCTCTCACTACTTCTGTTCCTTCCCCAGTCTTCAACATTACTAGTCACATAGATCTATCCGACCTGTCCCTCCTGCACCACTCCTGATACGAATAAGAGTGAAAGTATTTGAGCAGCGCTGGGTTCCATTGTGGCTTCTTGACTGGGGTTGCCATTTTTGGGATCCGAGTATGCACAGATGCATCCACGCAGCACAACGAAGCTGAAGAAATTCTGTATTAAAGGTCTCTCCATCTGTATACTTATAGTATGCATTATAATATCCCTCATAGCATCCCCTATATAAAGTATCCCCTACAGATACTTACAGTATCCCTTGTACGCTCCGTGTACATCCTCTGCCAGAGAAAAGGATGGCCATGCGAACGCTTGGTGCTCCATATTCGGCAGGGGTAGATACCAAGAGCTCTCTCGCTCTCTCTCCCTCCCCCCTCTCCCACCGCTCTCGCTTGACCCTCGCCTGCCCCACCCTCGCCCCGCCACCCCACCCTGCCCCCGCCCACCCGGGCCCCCGCCCCCGAATTCGCCCTCCCTCCCTCCCTCGCTCGCTCGCTGCTCCATATCTATCTCTCTCTCTCTCTCGCTCTCTCTCTCTCTTCTCTCTCTTTCTTCTCTCTCTCTTCTCTCTCTCTTCTCTCTCTCTTCTCTCTCTCTTCTCTCTCTCTTCTCTCTCTCTTCTCTCTATGTCTTTCTTTGATTCGGAAAGGTTGCCCTCATGGACATAGCGTACCACGGAGACTCGGGCTTTTGCGGAGCCACCCAGTGGGGGTCTTGGGTGCTTTCAGAGCCAACTTAGCACTTTAGCGACGATTATGGCGACTGCTACCCGTATGCTATCCCAGGCATGCCTTGGAGGTTATCTTCTCCAATCGATCCGCTTGGTTGGCTGTCGAAGGCTGAAACTCGAAATCGTATTCAGTCTCTCCTGCTTGCTCAACTATTCAATTCCTTTCTCTCATCAGGCGTTTGCTTGGTCTTCATTGCGGTGGGAATTGCTGGAATCGGTGCAGGCACGTGTGTGCTTACGTACGCCCGAATCCCAGATCGGAGATGCCTGCTTCAAGACGTGGGCTCTCCTTTCTTGCATATTTTGTCTGATTCCAGCCTGCTGCCAAGATGATCACGATGTCCGTCACCCGCTACACGGAGTGACTACGTGTGTCTGTGTAGACACGTTTGCGATTCGCTGTGGCAGTGGGGCATGAGAAGTGCAGTGCCGAAGGACATAGAAAGCCCCAATCACGTGTCGGATCCACGCGAGGTGGCTATCGTGCATCTCTCAGTGCCTGCACACTGCAGATTTGTGCAGCGTTGTTACCATCGCTGCAGACGACAGCTCTGTTCCAGGTCGCTGGCGTCATCGGCGTGTTTCTAGGCTGGACGATGCTTCATCCCTTCATCACTATTGCAGTCGCGCTCCCAGTCTAAAATGTCTGCGTCTTTCTTCCGCAAAGCCTTCGCAAGAAAGGATACCATGGCATACTGCCACGGCTTCACGGCGTATGAGGAGAAGATGAGTGCTCAGGCCTTGTCTTTCAGAGGCCCTTAGAAACCAGCGCTTACCAGCACAGCAGGCCGACGTGGAAGAAGCCACCTACCAGAACTGCTATGGCTGTTGGACAAAGCCGGCCCGAGAGGTCAGGACCTGCTCGTTCTTAGGAGGAAAAGTACGGGATGGTTTGGATGAAGACGGTGTTGCTGCTGCTGATGATAATGCTCATGCTTCTGGTGTGTCTGCTGCTCTTTATATATGCACGGCGATGACTGTGATGATGGTAGTTTGGTTCATGTTAAGCTGAAGATGAGTTTAATGAAGCTGCAAGTGAGCATGACTAGGCTGACGATGGTAGCAACAGTCATGCTGTTCGTCGCTGTGGTCGTGATGATGGTGAAGAAGAAGATAAGGAGCTGGCGGTGTTGATGATACTGCTGTTGGTTTTGTTTGTGGCATGTGTGCTGGTGAACAAGATGATGATGTACGGCAGACGGTTTCCGAGAGCAGGATGTGGGTGGAGGACAGGGGAGGAGGATGAGGAGCACGTGGAGGAGCCGGAGCTGGATGACGATGCGACGAAGAGGACGAGGACGGTGATGGTGATGTTGGCTACTGTTGACGTTTCAGTGCTGTTAAGAGTTGAGACTCAACAAGTTTTCCGCTGCTGTTATGCTGGCGGCAGCGGCAGTTTGGAGAGCCAGTATGTCGCGGATTTAGATGGTGGTCGGGATGTTGATGTCCGATGAAGGTATGTAAACGGTCCTGTTTGACCTCGGCTGGTTGATCTTGACCGGCTGACGTCTTTCTGATGACTCAAGAATGGATGGTGACGGTGGGGCACCCTGAGGATGTCTTGTGAGTAGCAGGGAGCGATGGATGAGCCCATAGCAATCCCATAGCAAGCTGCATAACTGATATCACTGAAGCTGCTGTTGCGGGTCATTCATAGCACGCCGGGGCATGATGTCGGAATGACCTACCATTCGCAGACTGACCTCCTTCTCAAGACGCACAAAAAAGAAGCTCCGGAATGAGCGACGGCTTCTGTAGCTGATTTCTTCCCATCGCACGGACCCGCAGAATTTTTCACAGCCATCGTGCTATTGAGACTGATTTACCTGAGCAGGTTTATTTATCTGTGGTTTGGCATGTCTCGGCAAACATGTGCCGTCCTTCAGCCAGCGGGGTCGCATTTTTGGTGCTGTCGAATCTGCGGGTGACGCGTTAAAACACGTGCGCAGCTCGCAGATCGAATTTGCCTAAGTGCAGATGCCCTCATATCCTGCAGCGTGTCTCATCCTTGAGATGCAGTCGATGAAGTATCACCCTGTCAATGCCGTTCTTCTGACCAGTGTACCCTGTTCGCAGAGGCCAGCAAGCTCTAACGACTTCATTGCTCGTCGTCCGGTCAGCTGACAAATGTAAACGTAGCAGGCCGAAGACAGCCTGGATCATGAGCGGTGCCGCAGTCAAAAAGGCAGCTGATGCTCCTGCATTGATGCTTTGCCGCCTGTGCTTCGGTCATGACCTCCCCTACTTGGAGGATCATGGGACTTAGTAAGCAAGGTTACAAGTACCTTATTTGGGGTTAAGTTATAAGTAATTACAAGACCTGGTTACTAAGACCCATGATCCTTTAAGTAATCCTGCCAGTATCTCCCTGGCCATTTAGCACACATCACGAGTTGGGCCCTGGAATTACCCAGGGCCAAGCATCGCCAGCTCTGGTGTTGAGGCATTTATGGGGCAAGACTCAATTCATCGTAACTCTTCAACGTGTCCTGCTTCCTGTCGTATCTTCCTCGCTTCTCTTTCCTTCTTGCCTGAATGTTGTTCAGCGAAGCCTGGCCCTGAAAATGGGCCATTTAGCGGAGTGGTCTGTGCTTCGAGGACAGATAGGGAATTGCTCGACATGCTGTTGTGCTGCACGTTGTAATAAAGCTGCAGCGTACTGCAGTATGGTGTGCGGTAGGTTGTGTTTGCCATAGGATGGGGCAAGGTTGTGCAGCGCGATAGGATGCGCTGTGCACATGATCGTTCGAGAGTCGCTGACATTACATATCACAGCACCATGATATACTTTCATAAGGACTACTCAGTAGCTACACGATGCTCCAGCTTCCCTTGCTCTTCTCCTTTCTCTCCGCCTTAATCCCAACAGAATTGTTGCCAAGTCGTCGTGGTTCGCTTTACTTAGTTTGAGCTGTTTTGATGCTCGTATGCCCTCCGTATGCCCCCGTCACAGTCCGGGATTCCGCAGGTTAACTATGACTGGCACACTGAGGTGCCCATCCAAAGCAGAAAGGCCGGCATACCAACGAGGCGGGCGAAACATGGCGCGGAGTCGGGTCGGAGCAGATGCTTCTCCTGTGGTTGTAGGTACATCACCTACAGCTTTGACATCAACAATGGTGGATTGGACCCCCAGGCGTGGGTCGGAAGCCCCAAGGTTGCCAAATGAGTCTGAGATGCCTCTTGGTGCTTCTGAGGAGCCCATGCCGCTTGGTGGTGGTGCGCGACTTCGACTACGATCTGCAAGTCGCACGGCCGGGTGGCAGGGATCTCTTTGTGTGAAGTTTCTCTGGACACAGGCATGTCGAATGCTGTACATCGCTGTGTGAAAGGGGGTTCCGGGGTTTAGAGCTTGCTGTGTTCTTGCTGCGCAAGCCGAGACCTCTGTTTCTTGGCCCAATCTTCTATTTGAGACGCATGCGGCCCCGCACATGCTCCCAAATGTAGCGATGCAAGCGGACAAAGCCGTCAAATTGGCTGTGGAGGTTCGTGGTGCAGATCATGACCTCAAGGAGATGTACGAAATTTTCGAGGGATCCACTCGGCACGAGGACAAGCCCCCTCCAGTGGCTCCCGACATTCGTGGCGCAGATCATGACCTTAGGGAGATGTACGATATGTTTGAGGGATCCGTGCGGGATGAAATCAGGCTGCTCCATGACTACGTTCGGGTGCAATTCTCAGCGCAGGCAGAGCATCTGAGAGAGTTGAGCTGGCAGCTGCGGAAGGGATCCTTGCAGGCCTCCCAGTCGGAGGCAGGACGCCCAAATCCGGAAGACATCGACTTTAGCAGCCTGGACAGGCTTCTGGCCTCTCACGGTTTGGATCTGCATTTCGGGAAGTCTCCTGACGTGCAAGCTCCGAACAATACTCTCGAAGGTGTTGGGCAGCTGTTGGAAGAACATGGCATCGGCATCATCCCGGACAATCCCAAACAGCTAAGAGTTTCAGATAAAAACGTACTTCAAGTACCACTTCAAGAGAGCTCTCCACCGTCTGCGGAGTCTTCGCAGGACCCGCGTATTTCGGAGTCGCACTCCGTTGCAAGCCTGCGTTCGGTGCAGCAGCTTGAGCAGCAAGAAGAGGGTGAGGGCAAGACTCCGCCGGAAAGTCCGCATGCCCCTAAGCGGGATAGCTCTCGCTTCAGCTTCGTCCGTTCGCAGATGGTTGCGCAGCAGAGGGTTGCCAGAGCTGCCGCCTCTCGCGTGGAGCGTGCCATATCCCTTGCTCCACCTCCGGATGAGAGTTTATCGCTACAGGACAGGATCGGGAAGGTGGTTGCGTCAAACCTCTTTGTCTACGGCATCATGGCTCTGATCTTCATCAACCTGCTTATGCTTGGAATTGAGGTGGAAATCTCCGCATCCTTGGGAACAAATGATATCCCCCAATGGTTTGAGATCGTCAACCTGGTGATTGTAGTCATATTCGTTCTGGAAATCACATTGAAGTTCTTCGCGTTTGGTTGCCGAAAATTCTTCCTGGGTCCTGATGGACACTGGAACATGTTCGATTTAGTCATTATCCTATTGTCTGTCCTGGAGACTGCACTGGACGGATGGGCCGCATCACAATCCGCATCACAGGTGGAGTTGAGCCACCTCCGTGTCATGCGCTTCATGCGTTTGGCTCGGACGTTGCGTGGCATCCGAGTCATCCGGCTGCTCCGCTATGTCGGTGCTTTGCGAACTCTTGTGTTCTCCATCCTGAACACCATGAAGTCCCTGTTGTGGACTCTGATCCTTCTTTGCTTGTTGCCTGGCTGAAATTTGAACGATGATGATTTCCGTGTGCGAAGCTGCAGAGGGACAAGAGTGGCAGGGTACTGCAAGCCGCGAGGAGAGCTTGTTTTGGAAGTAGTAGCTGAAGAAGCGCACTGTGTCGTCAATCAAGACACCCAAGACCAAGAGGCTCAGCCGACTTGGCCGGCCCACATTAGGATGTACCGACACAGACCAGCAGAACCGAACCTAGCCGAATGGTAAGGACATCAGCGAGTTGGACAACCAGGGCGATGCACTGAAAGCTTTGGTATTAATCAGCCTCGCCAGACTTGACAAGAACGTCCCTTAATGACAGATAGGAGATAGCACGCCCTGACGGTGTGGTAGTGAGAGATGCAAGTAAGAGTAGTAAGCATGCTCACAGTAAAACTGGTGACCCTTTCGAGGATGGATGTAACACCCTTCGGGGTGGGAGATAGGGAGCCAAATACAAGACTCCTAGTAACTGCAGTTCCGAAAGCAGCGCCTTTCTACGGGTCGTCTTCGAGCAACCTCTGCTTCTGAAGCCTCATATTTCCCCAGCGCGGACACTTGACCATGCGTGTTAAACGACATTGACCCGTTCTTCGAGAAGGTAACGCCGCCCCTATGGAAGACCAACTGTCGCTGGCCCTCTGGGTTCTCCAACTTCAACTGCGTGCCCGACCCGGTGCCGCCAACGACGTGCAAGAAATGCCGTGCGCGCTGCAACGAGGCAAAAGGATCAAAAACTACTAGTAGCACAGCAGGGAACGTCAAAGTGCTCAGCATTTCGATGCCTCAGAAGACGCTCGCCAGATGTTCCGCCAGCCGGCATGAAAAATGCACGACATGGAGGGTGGCAGTTTGTCCCAAACTCGAAGCAAAAGGTATCACGGCAGGAAACGTCAAAGTGCTCACCGTTTCGATGCTTGAGAAGACGCTGCACGAGATGTTTCACCAGCCAGCATGAAAAAAATGTCGGATTGTTTGTCCCAAACTCGAAACGAAATCAGCGGGGAAGGCGGGCCCTTTCAGCTTTTCGCTTGACTACGTGCTCCAAGCATCTATGGGGTGTAGATTGGAACGGGTTACGGTATTTAGCGGGGACCAGTCACTGATTGGTGATTCTGTGCCGTGTCACACGGTTTCCGGACAGTTTCCGCATCAAGCTGTGCTCGCAGGTTATTTTACTCATTCGGCGTGGTGCTGACCCAGCTTGTGCAAGATCAATGCAGGTACGAAGCGATTGCAGCTACCGGAAACACCAATGCAGTGCCCCATTGCGAAGATGGTGTGCTTCATAAGTATTGGTCGACCATCTTCGAGAGTATGTTGACGCTGTTTATGGCCATATCAGGCGGTTTGAGCTGGGGTGAAGCTTTGGATCCGTTGAAAAGTTTCTCACTTATTGCTGTGGCCTGCATGGTGTTCTATGTGTTAATCGCAGTATTTGCGGTTATGAATGTGGTGACTCGGACATTTGATAGCAAGACATTTCGTTTGCTGTGTGCTTGTTGTCGAGATCTCCTAAAGACTTTAAGAACGTACCCGATGATTTTTTGCCAGCCGATTTTTTTTTAGGTTACTGGTGTTTTCTGTAACACAGCCATCGAGAGTGCGAACTCCGACCGCGACATCAGAGCCATTGAGCAATTGAACAAGCAAACAACTTTGGTGAAATCTTTGAAAGAGCTCTTCCAGGAGATTGATCACGACAACTCGAACATGGTCAGCATTGACGAGTTCAGGACAGCTGTGAACACACCAAAAATGTCGAGTTTTCTCGAGTCCATGGGCATATCAACGCAAGATGTGTGGACATTGTTTACCATCATCGATGCAGATTCAAGCGGGCTGATTGATCTGGATGAGTTCGTGGGAGGATGCATGGAGTTGCATGGTCCTGCAAAGAGCTTCCAGATGTCGAAGATGAGCTATGAAAACAAGATTACACGGCAGGCAATCAAGAAGCTTGTCAAGGAGACCTCAGACGTGAAGAACCAACTCGTGTTTGCTGTCCGAGCGCTTGAGGTAGCAGGCCGCAAAATGTGACATCACTTCGTCGAATCATCTTCTTTTGCGTTGAAATGTCGAAGACAAATCGACGCAGATACTTTCATAAGCTGCCTTGCGAACACCTGCAAGATACTGACGGTCAAGGGGCTTTGCAAGGCAGGCCCAGATGTGCCAAAAACAATCTCGAAGAGATTTGAGAGATCGACCAGTGCTTCAGCGAGAAATGGAGAGTTTCTCCCCTGAATCTTGCGATGGCTGCACGAAGTCTGACTGTCTGACTGTTGTAGGTGATTTCCTTTGATGCAGGCATCAGGACGCAACTGGGCTCTCGCTCAGAAGTCTGCGGAATCAGAGGCCCGTGGAGTTTTAAACTGGGCTTCCTTGCAGGGCTGATTGAATGTGTATTGTTTGACAAAATTAATGATAACAAACGTAATCACAAGGACGAACAAGAATACTACTAATAGTTATGACAATAGTATAAAAAGCATGTATCTCTCTGTCTCTTCTTTTCTTCTTCTTCTTCTTCTTGGCTTCTCCTCTGCCAAAACCATGCCGCCGCTCTTTTGAGGCGGCCCGCCTTGCTGCAGTACCCAAACGCTGGTGCCTCAAGCCTCTGATGAATGTATATATATATATATATATATATATATGGGTGGTTGTCAAAATTGGAGTCCCCTTTTGGGGTCCCTATTATAATACGGCACCTAGTATTTAGGGTACGCAAAAAGGGGCCATAGTTTTGACAACCACCCATATAAGAATAAGAATAATAAATGTGTATGTATATGTATATATGTATATACATACATATATATATATAGTGTTCTTGAAGCGCAGACCGCGAGAAGGTGAGCTAGCATGCTGTCACAGCTCGACCAATTTAAGAGGCCTGAATGATCATCTGCGGTCCAAGTCGAGGAGGGTTGTAGCTGCCCCAGTGATATGGCAGAAGGATTCGACTCTTAGAGTCGTCAGACCATGGTATTCTGAGGGCATGGAGATCGTGCAGGGCCAGTTTGAATTTGTCCTTGACGAGGTTTCGAGCCGCCGTGTTTTTCCGTTTAGAAGATTTGTTTCGTGTCTGAAGGCAGATGGAACTCTATGGCTGGCCAATGCGCCCTATCCTCAGCAAACTTTCCAGCATTTGCTGTGCCTCGACCTGGACGCAGCGCCGAGGTCAAACCTTCGCTGCAGATTCCTGCCGAAGTCTTCCAGTGAGGACAAGAACGGTCCTCTACCAAGCTGCCGTTTTAGCTGCTGCTCTCTGCAACGGCGAATGTTGAATATAGAGTGATGCGAATGTTCTCTTGGACAGCAAGGTGCCAACTCTGAAGAAGAGGTCGTCCGTTTCTTCGAGGTCCGGCTCTCAGTGTCCGAGTGGCTTGTGTTTGTTGTATGCGTGTGTGGGTAGATGGGTGGGTGCTGAGCTCGATCTTAACCACATCGTGTTGTGTGTCCGTGACATCAGTACGCTAGAAACAAGGCATGGCACTTCACCTCAACACCCGGGTTTCTCATTTGAATGCCTTGGGGCCTCCCTTCTGGGCACGCACACAAAGAGATTTTGAAATAAGGACGTCGACATCTCCTGCTACGTGCTTCACTTGCAGCGTTTCGCCTTCTGTTGCCGTAAGAGAGCATTCCAGAGCCTCGTGTCTTGCCGCTCCTTAAAGAAAGCTCTTGTACCTCTGTTCTCCTCTATCCTCCCTCACGAGCAAGGGCACCGACAGCAGCCTTCGCATGATGTGCTCGGGGTCTGACCTCCACACCAATGTGGGACCCGTTCCACCAGGCTAGGCGTTTACACTGAACCGAGGGGAAGGCCATGCAGTCGCGCTTCTCCAATGCATGTTGGGGCCATGCCAATATCCCTTCTCCTCTGCTTAGACACGAACTTCAGTCCGCTGCAGGGCTTCCCATGCGCTTCCTAAGGAAGAAGAGTTTGAGGAAGAGTTGCGGGACGCCTGTGCCGAGTTTGTCCATGGTCGCCCTTGGAACCATGGTTGGTATGCTTCGAGCGGCTACCCGCGAGGACACGGAGAAGAAGATGGAGCAGCTGAGGAAGAGCACCCCTGGCCTGTCTTGACAGGTTTTGTTGAGGACCTCGCATGGCCGCATGGCCCTTGCAGGATTCGGTGGCGATCCTGGCGTAGCGCATGGTGGAACAGGAGGCTCAAGACAAGCTGCCAGCCTTAGAGAAGAGAAGCCCCGCTCGGACATTCTAAGTCTAAGTGCTATGTCTGCAGTTTCCGGCATCACTGTCAGCGCCTCTGACCAACTGGCTGGAGTCACTCCGGCTACCTTGAAGGATGCGGTCCTGTCCCCCCCACCCCGGGTGTAGCCGAAGATAATGTTGTCGTTGCCAGGTCCGGGTGCCAAACAACCTTGTACGATTTTACCAGGCATCTCGACCGCAAGCGGCCAGCAAGATGCCGTAGCCACGGTGTGAATCAGACTTGCTGTTTGACTATCGGAGCTTGAAGTAGATAATGTGGGGGCCAATGTCGGTTCCGAAGCTTGCGATGAATGCGTCTGTGGTGTCTTTGCTGATACGACCACAAACTAAGACCTGTGGACAGTTGTGGCTTTAGCTCAAGTGTATGTTGGTGAGAACCCACGAGATGCGTCAGTCTCTCCTACCTGCGCATGTTGTCTAGCAAAAGCAGAGCGGTCGGACGCTTCTCGCGTTGGCGTAACAGTGTGCATTTAAGGAGGAGGAGAAAATGCTGGTAGCCCAGAGGCACTGCATCTCACCACGTCTGTTGCACGTGGAAGACTTAAGGCTCCGCTACTATGAGGATGAGGTTCGGGCGCCCGTCTCAGGAACCAGTTTCGAGCCAAAGACACCAAGGCTGGCAATCCATCTGAGTGGTTGTGAAAACTATGGTCCCTTTTTGGGTCCTTATTATAATACGGCACCTAATATTTAGGGTACCGACAGAGGGGCCACAATTTTGACCACTATCCATCTTTCTTTGTGGAACTTGCTTTCAGGTGCTGGCCCTGAGGCCTTTGAAGCCCCTCGCAGAAGGCCGAAAAACGCGAACGGTCTGCTCGAAGTCTACCCACCGTTTCCATCCCTTTTGGCAGGACGAGCTGTTGGGCTGGGTTGCTGGCCGCAGCCTTCGTTGGCTTATACTCTCTTATGCTACAACATGCTATATTATACTATATCATACCATGTAATACTAGTTTGTACGATATTATGCCCCATGATACTATCTTACAAGGACCTGGTGGTCTCAATTCGGTTCACCCTCTTTGGTCTGTGAGGTTCCGACGCTGGGTGAAGAGCGTGAAAGCCCCGCGGCCAGGAAGGCGCGGGGACATCGAAGCCCAAAAGATTGGTGTGAATCTGCAAGCATCCGTCGCTCTTGCGAGGCTGGCCATACTTGAGTAAAGCGAGACCCGATGACTCGCTTCTCATCAGTTCAGTTGATGAGTTCATGTTCGGGCACTTCTGGCTAAGCCAAGTTTGTGCTCCATATCTCTTTATGCGGCTTGCTTCCGTAGGCCTTGCATGGTTTCACCCCCATGTGTGCCTCGCTGTCCCGGCGTGGAGTTGTCCTTCATCTTTGGCGAGATTGTGTAGTGGCTCCGGTTCTTCCTGCAGTGTCTTGTGGCTCTTTGTCGATGCTGTTGAACATCTGGTGCTCTCTCCCTATCTTATGTGGCACAAGAAGACAAGCTTGCAAGCTGTTTGGGGCTGGCATCATTGCTGCACCTGGCTTTGCGACTGATTTGACTGCCGTAGGGAGAAGTAAACACTGCTGGTGTTTGGCTCGAGTGAGAATCCTGGACCGGCCATTCCAGAAAGCACGCGCCTCATCTTCCAAGCCCTAAGCCCTAAACCCTAAACTCTAAACCCTAAACCCTCCCTAAAACCCTTTTCCTGAAGCACAAAGCGGTTTAGTCAGGAAGTTGGGTTCCCGGGGCCTGGGTTTTCCTACCAACGAGTCAAGGCTACGGCAAGCACGATACCATGCCAGAGGAGGCACTGGGGCGCAGAGACCCGCAAGTCCTCGTTGTGACCGGCCAGCAAGGCAAAGAAGGATGAATCAAAAGATGTACAGATGAAGGATGCAAAGGAGGCGGGTAAAGAAGACGGCAAGAAAGCCGGACTCTAAGCATGAGCACAAGTGCAAGCGAGCGAAGCATTTGCGGATGGAAGCGCAGCTCGTGCTTCCGCTTCCTCCAAGTACTTTTGGCCCTGCATCAGGATGAGAAGAAAGAGCCTGAGAAGCCAAAGGATCCGAGGACCAGTGTGAGCATTTTTTAGCACGGTTTTCCATGGCATCTCTTCTTTGCTCTGGGCATTTGCGGGCTTTTTATGGTTGAGCAGGACGCTTCTTCTTGAAGCCCTCAGCCAGAATCTGAAAACCATAGCAGCAGCGAGGGGCTCGGCCGGAAGCACATGTGCTCAGCTTGGCTTGGAGGTTTGGTGCATTCTTGTCTTCGCTCTTCGCTTGCCAAGGGGGTGTCGGCCGGAGACCCTCGAGTAATGGGACGCGTGCTGCGATCGCTCGCGAGCCTGCGCCGAAAGATGGAGCCCGAGGCACCCCGGAGTGCTGTCTGTGCCGGCTCTTTGTGTCCATTGGCCTTGAAACCACTGAAGGTGTTGAAGGCCCTCCTGGAGGAGTTTGTAGATGCAAGCCGGCCCAGCAAGGCAGGGCACGAGACGGCAGCTTGTGTCATCTTCTGTCCCCTTGTTTCTGCACCTTGGCGTGCTGTTGTGACTCAAGCTGCAAGACCCGCAAGCGCCAAGCCTAACACAAGAATTTACATAAGCATAAGAGGGAAAGAAGATGCCACGCCTGTATAAACAGCCATAGACGAGCAGACGTGCAGCATTCGCAGGTTTTTTCTGCTAGAGCGGTAGTATGCACTACTGTACACCTCGTAGCTCAGAGACATGTCCTCCCTGGACTGACCCGCTGTAGCATCTTAGAAGCTTTCTTGTTCTCCCCCTCCAAGTCTTCCATATGTCCAACTAAAGCCACTGCGCCGGTTGCCATTGCCATGGTGCTGTCTGCAACAGCGCGCGGTCTTCAGAGGTCGTGGCCTAATGAGCTCAAGCATCCGGTGGACCTCACGCTACTTCTGTTCTTCTTCGCAGGCCGTTTCGGCAGGTTGCCCAACGATGTACTGAACCCAGCCGGTTGGAGGGACTGTTCATCTGATTTCTCATGCCGACTGCCGGGAGATGCAGGGCGAGCCAAAGAGCTGCAGACAGGGCGGCGAAACCTGCACGTCGCTGTCCGTCTCCCAGACGTGGGACTCACGATTTTCATGATGGTCGCCCGGGCATCTCCGAGATTGTTGGAAGTGGCCCCGCGGGGTTCTACACCTCGAAATACCTCTTCAAGCAGAAGGAGAAGGCCTCTCTTTGGGGACTCCTCTCTGCCCAAAAACAGAGAAAACCTAACCACCCCCCCGTCCCACCCAATAAAAGCATTCGACCCTAAACCTCATGGGCCCCCCGTTACTTTGGGGTCTCCATCCGTCTGTCTCACCCCATTATATTAGAATCTACTACAATATTCCATAAACTATACTACAATGTACTATTGTAATATACCATAAGCTTATTGTAATGTACTTGTTATAATGTACTGTATAATATACCATAATATACTACAACATACCATAACATACCATAAACTTATTATACCAGAACCCCAAGCCACCCTGACACTCACAGCCCGGGCCGCGCTGGGGCGAGGCGGAGGGACCGCTTCAGATCGACATGCCCAGCCCTGAGACTCCCTGAAGCCGGCACATGGGAATTTCTGAAAATACTATATCAAAATGTGGTTTTAATACATGCACGATAATATAGACTATAACTTACATGATAATCAATATGGGAGTTTCCGAAAATAGGGGACCCTCATGTAGCACCCCAAATAGTAGGATCCTGATTATAAGGACCCTAACATAAGGTACCCCTAATTTTCGGAAACTCCCACATAGCTTCGCTCCTATGGTGTAGTATATATAGCACAGTAGAAGATCGTAAGATGTGAATTCGGCATAATATAGTATAGCATAGTAAGTATACTTTTGTATACTATAGTATACTATGGTTTTCCTATAGTATACTTAAGTCTACTATAGTATGATACAATCTAATTTTAACGCTACGCGGCCCGCCTCGGCTGTTTAGCGGCAGGGCGAGGGGGCAGTCGATGTTGTATACATGCTAGGGCCTCTCAACCCCAACCTTTACACGGTTGTTGATACCCAACTGGGATGGAGGGGGAGGGGGGGGAAGGGGGGAGGGGGGCAGCGGGGGGGGGGAGGGCGGGGGAGGAGGAGGGGGGAGGGGTGGGGTGGGGGGGAGGGAAGAGGGGGATTGGGGAGGCGGCCGACAAATCAGGGGGGTGGCAAACGAACGCAAAAAACGGGTGGGTCCAAACACTTGGCCTGCAGGATTAGGTGGAGGGTACCTGAGGTAACCATCAAGACGCCTGGGCCTCTGGCCTCGGCGGATATAGTATAGGGCTTAGGGTTTAGGGTTTAGGGGTTTAGGGGTTTAGGGGTTTAGGCCTTAGGGGTTTAGGGTTTAGAGGTTTAGGGTTTAGGGCTGAAGGACCCACAGATTCACTGTCCGAGGTTCGAGCGACTCCCGACTCCCTTCGGACTGGTTCGCTTCGGCGTTGCTCCGGACCACCCCGAGGTCAGAGGCTTTGGGCAGTTTCGGCTCTAAATATATTATATTAAAAGTACCAATGATATCGATAGATACTAGTCTTAAATCAAGAAATGCAAAAAGTGATAATGCCAATAAATAAACAAAAGCAATAGGAATGATAATAATAATCATAGGGTTTCGGGTCTAGTGTTTCGCACATATAGCAGCCCAAAGTGTTTGCCTTCTCTCTGCTGGAAGTTCTTCCTGCCTCCAGTTGGCATTTCAGCACTCTGCTTCTGCGTGTACGGTTGCGCTAGGAGTTACATGGGTAGTTGTCGAAATTATGGCCCTTTTTTGGGTACCCCAAATATTAGGTGCCGTATTATAATAAGGACCCAAAAAGGGACCCTAATATTGACAACCACCCACATATCTTCTCTTAGTTCTTAAGCCTCAGAGCCAAGCCGCTGAATGCTTGAAGAGCAGCCGAGAATAGAAGGGGCTCTCGAGGTGAAGAACGTGATCAACGACTTTACCGATGTGGCGCAGACGCCGAACTTCAGATTCTTCGGAAATGTTGAGGCCGAACTCGCTTGTCGCAGAGACATCTGTTGACCATGGTTGAACCCTAAATCCCTAAACCCCTAAACCCTATAACTCTGAGCCTTATAACCCTAAACCCTATAACCCTATTGCCCTAAACCCTATCACCCTAAGCCTTCTAACCCTATAACCCCAAACTCCCCCGGGTTACATTGGAGCAGAGGTGGGAAAGGGCAGCCTGTCGCTCGAAGCGATGCGCAAGATGTACGACGCCGTCGTGCTGTGTCCGGGACCTGGCCTTGAAGCAGCTGGTCGATTTCGGATCTGGAATGATGTAATGTATGAAATTTCAAGTAAAAAGATTATCGATGATAGATAATGCATAGTAAATATAATTATACGATGTAAGATGTATAATATGTACAGTTTAAGAATGAGGAATTTGTGACAATGGTTTGGGTTCGGGCCGGGTCGCGGTTTGAGAGATCTGGCGGTTTTGGAGGTTTGGGGTCTGACGGTCGGGCCCCAAAATGTGAGGACGTTTGGGGACTTGGGGGGCTTCGATTTTTGGGGACTTGGGGGGCTTCGATCTGATGTACTTCTCCTCGTCAAGGTGCACTTGCACGATGCCTTGTTGCCCAAATTCTTTACGGACTGCCAGTATCTGACTCTGAAGCTTGCAGCTGGGCAGTGTTCCGTCGTAAACCTGTCTTGTTAGACGCCCTAGAGACGGAGGCACGGGGGCAAGCGGCGAAAGGCGGCTGGGCATCCCAGGCCTCTGCAGCTTGCAGGGAGACTTGCAGAAGCTCGCAGTTTGAATTGTCAATGCAGAAGCCTGCATGGTGATTGTAATGAACGTTAGTGGTGGTCGCGGTGGAACCGATCCATGTCGGAAGGTGAAGACTGTGAAGGCGTCGTCGGCGCGCCGGCTTTCGTCAAGTGGTACAATGGCCGGGTCCAAAATCGTGGCAGCACTTTGTTTGACGTACTTGCAGACAAGACTCCATCTACTGCAGGACATCCGGACTACCAGAATATCAAGGCTGGTATAGGGTTTGGGGTTTAGGGCTTAGGGTTTAGGGCTTAGGGGATTAGGGTCTAAATATAGGGTTTCAGGGTTTCTGCTTTGAATTTAAAACAAGGCTGGTGCGACACGGCTGTTGTCTTGCGAGTTCGTATGAGTGTCGACTCTTGGAAGGTTCCGGCAGCTGGCGAAGCTGCCGTGGTGCAAGTCTTGGGCAGTACTATTAATATTATTATTATTATTGCTAGAATTCTTGATTAATACTATTATTGTTATAACTATTGTTATTGTTGTTGTGATTATTATTATTATTATTATTATTATTATTATTCTGATTTTTATTATTACTGTTAGTATTAGTATTAGCACGTATTATGTTTATTGCCATTATGATTATCATGATTATGATAACTATGATCATTATGCTTATTATGGTTATGATGATGAGTATTGTGTCCTGGCACAGCTTGGCGCTACCCGACGGGCTTCACCTCTCGAGGTAGTCGGGCAAGGAAACGTCGCGCTGGATGTTGCAAAGCCCTCGGCGGATGTTTGAGGCACTGGCAGACGTCATGCAACGTGCATGTCAGGCACGGCTCCTGGTGCGATCTCCGAAAGAGCTTCATGCAACAGATATGGATGTGCCGACCCCAGATATAGGCGGGTGGCGCTCTGTGGACGTCAGCTTTCCGCTGTATTGAGCATGCTCAACCTCAAGCCCAAAGCCCAAAGACCACAACCCTAAAAATCCCAAGCCCTAAGCCTCGACCAAACCCTTAACCCCCCAAACCTTAAAGCCCTGAACCCTGCACCCCTCTCAAAAAGATCTAAGGCAGGGGCCGTGGAGCAGATTCGCGCCTGGCAGGCCGCGGGCCTGCGATCCGTCCACATCGTCGGACAGGGCCTCGGCGGATGGAAACTCCCATTGTGGGTATCTTGAGGGTTCGGGGCTCCTTATGGGTATTCTTAGGGTTCAGGGCTCCTTATGGGTATTCTTAGGGTTCGGGGCTCCTGATGGGTATTCTTAGGGTTCAGGGTTTCTTATGGGGTTTTAGGGTTTAGGGTACCTCGTAAATCCAAAACCCCCGCCGCCCCAAGCCCAAAAGGCCGCCGCGGGTTTGTCCAAGCGGCCTTTACCAATGCCGAGCTGCGAGAGCTGCTGACATGCAGCGAGGAGGCGCGAGAGCCACGGTTTAGGGTTTGGGGTTTAGGGTTCAGGAGGTGCACCATTTTGTATTCAAGTGGCTGTATCCTTCTAATTTTGTTCTTCCCTGAGGAAATACGGCAATGTTCCGGGCTGAAACGCCGTAGGGGCGCTGAGCACAAATCGGGGAGGGCTGAACCCTGCATCTTGGGCCAATCCCCGATCGTCGCGAAAGAAGGAAATACCGTGAATCGTGGACCATAAAGCCTGCACAAGCTTGTTTTGGCACCCGTTACTCTAAGCAGGTTTACCGAACCTACACGGTATCCTTGGGAGATACAAGAAAGCTGTGCTGTTTCTGCAACAGGATCGTTCATTCTCTTTGTCCATGCATCCAAGCCGGCTTCGGTTCCAAGTTGCTGTGCAACAGTTAGAGTCGGGGCATCTGGACAACGCAAGACTGCAGCTGGTATAGTTGCTGGAAGATAATGCACATACTAGGCTATGAGCCAGGTAGTGTTGGCATCTCAAAGCGCCTGGTTCCAGCTGCCATGTTGGCCGCCGATGCAACCACTCTGCTGCCAAAAGCACAGGCCTTGATGGCCCAAATGCAGGCAGACAACATGGAGCTGAAGAAAGAGATCAAGCGCTTCAAGACGCTGAACACGGCGCTTCAGCAGGCCATCGACAACCAGCTGCAAAGACTGCCGGAGCTCTATTTCGCAGATTCCGCTGCAGCGCCGACAACGCGTCTGGCTCAAGCTTGCGGTGCTCTGAAGACCAGAGCCCAAGAGTTGGAGCATCAGATTGCGGAGAAGCGTCAGCGAAAGCTGCGGATGCAGCGCGAGTTGGAGGAGAAGAAGGCGAAGCTGAAGACGAGTGCCCTGTCGACCACGCCTGCCAAAGTGGACAGCAGTCCACTGAAGCTTACGCCGGCGTCTGGAACAGGCAGCGGCATCAGCAATATCAGTCGCAAAGAAGCAGCGCTGCTTCTGCAACAGGACCTCTTCCGGAAGAGATTTCTACTGAGACGCGACTACAAAGGACCCAGTGCCTGATTCGTTTTTCAGAACGTCAGACTTGCCATTGGCATCCTGAAAACAGTGCTTTTTGCATGTGCTCTTCAATAAACCGAACAACCCCCGCCCCCGCAAAGACTCCAGGGCAACCCTTCTTAAACCTTTAGCCCTTCAGCCTAAACCCTAAAACCCTGAACCAACCCTCAACCCTCTACTGCTGTGGGGAAAGGGCCTATTGCACTGTAGGAAAACTCTAAACCCTAAACAGCGGTGAGAGAAGGAGTCCCCCCGTCCCAAAAAAAAGCGAACACCACGGATCCTAAACCCTAAACCGTAAACCAAACCCTAAACCCTAAACCAAACCCTAAACCCTAAACCCTAAACCCTAAACCCTAAACCCTGAACCCTGAACCCTGAACCCTGAACCCTAAACCAAACCCTGAACCCTAAACCAAACCCTAAGCCCTATAACTGCTGTGAGGTTCTGCCCATCATCGACCCCGAGGAGCTCCAGAACCTCGGCTCATGGGCCGGTGGTTCTGCAAAGGAAGCTTTTTGGGGACCTTTAGGGATTATTGTCGTTATCACTATTATTGTTATTATTATTATTATCATTATTGTTATTAGTGTTATTAGTGCTATTAGTGTTATTAGTGTTGTTACTGTTGTTATTGTTGTTATTGTTGTCATTGTTATTACTGTTATTATTGTTATTACAGATATTACTGTTACTATTGTTATTATTGTTATTGTTGTTATTACAAAAATCACAGTTATTACTATTGGGGCTTACTTCGGGTTGAAGGCTTTGGGTTCAGTTCCGGTTTAGTTTGGGTTTAGGGTTACGGGTTAAGTTTGGGTTTAGGTTTTGGGTCCGGTTCCCGTTTAGCAATAGGGTTTTTGTTGAGGGTTTCGTGTTTAGTTTGGGGTTACGGTTTCGGGTTTAGTTTGGGCTGAGGGTTTCGGGCCTAGTTCCGGATTTAGGGTTTCGGGTCTAGTTCCGGGTTGAGGGCTTTTGGGTTTTCTTCGGATTTCTGGTTTCGGGGTTTAGTTTTACAAAGGATGCTTACGAGTGTGGTTCCAGATGGGTACCGCAGGGTTCTGTTAAAGTGAAGGGTAGCACGTGCATTGTAGAAAGATACCATAAGGTTCTGCAAGGGTGCTATAAAGGTTCTAGAAAGGTTCTATGAGAGCTTGGGGTTTCCAGGAGTTTTGGCCCATGGAGGCATTGGCAAACAGGAGATTCCCTTTGTAGCAGGAGGGTTTTAGAAGACTCATGCTTAGCACTGATGATATTTACTGTTACATGGATCCCTCTACTTGTTGAACCCGGTTAAAGCACTGCGTTGAGTGAGATCCCCAAATGGTTCAATCCTGAGTTTCATATCGCAGGTTTTCGTCCTTGTCTGCAAAGGTCTCCGAGGGGGTCCCGTCGCATACCCTGAGCCCCAAATGAGAATGCAGTGGTGCACAGCTGGCCGGCTGATGGGGCTACTGGTAGCTTCTTTCAGACCAGTACCAATGATCAGTGCCGAAAGTATCCGAGCTGCTGAGGATGTGCCGCAATCCGGCTTCCGAGGAGGAGCGCAGAAGTCAGTACACATGGACAGGGGGCTGGAGAGAAGAATAAGGACATAAGACTGACTGGCATATTTAGCCGCCAGTATCCAGGCTGATACTGATATTCGCGATGCTCTCATGCCGTTGCTGCTGACCATGATGGCGATGCGATGATGTGGTGGTGGTAATAGGTAACTCTGCTGATCTCATTGTCGCCGGGCCAGTCTTATTCTTCGCTTTGTTCATTGTTGTCTTCGTGTTCCTGCTATTCCTATTGCTATCCTTGTCTTATTTGTTGTTCTTGTCGTTGTCGGATGCCTTCAAGCCGTGACAGGAGCTCTCCAAGAGCCGCATGAAGAAGCGATCTCTGGAGCTCTGGGTCACGGGGGGCTGAGAGCTCACTGGGATAGTTCCTGACAAATCTCCGTGCAGAGGATCGATTACTGGGTCCCAGGGTGCAGGAGTGTGCGGTGTCTGGTACTGGGTGAAGGAGATCTTGGATAAGATGGCCGCCAACTTTGAGCATCGACTGGACCCTGGATCAGCACACTTTCTAGTGTCTACAGTCGCAGTGAGACAATAGCGTTCATAGCCGTCTGAGGCTTGACTACTAGCAAGCGCATACTGCAGATCCACTTCCTTCGATCACCAATCGAGGCTCGATGTTCAGATCGTCTAAAGCTCTCTGTTGAAGCCACACGCCCGGCAATGTGTAGGTCTTGTCAGAGTCCGGTGCGCTGAGAGCCCTCCGATTGGGCCGCACAGCGCTGCAAGGAGAGCCGAGTTGATCATTGAACCCCATTGCGATCTAGATTCTTTGGTTGCGGGAGCTGTTCTGATTTGCGTTAGGTAGGCTTGCAGTTCAATTAGGTTTCAGGTTCAGGCGTTGGCATCGTGTCAGGTCGGAGCAGAGCCGAGACCACGAGCAAATAAATTTGCAGCCCTGTGGCTTTGAAGTTCAGGGCCTCTTTCTAGGACTATTTCCTGTAACCATCTGTTACCCAAGCCTTGACCTAGGACCTGCATGAACAGACGTACTGTGCAGGGCCGGAGAAGTGGGTTTAGGGTTTAGGGATTGGTTCCGGGGTCTCGGAGCCGCGTTGCATCGGTGACGAGTCGGATTCGGCGGCAATTTGGATGCTATTGCACTGCACAGCTGCAGCAGGCAATCAGGCAGTGGAGATACCAATGCGAAAGAGGAGTCCGGTCTGCGTGATGCAGGTTTGCGTGGCAACGGAGCATGACCACCATTAGCTCTGCAAATTGTGCGGATCGCGACGGGAAACTGCCCAATCTGCAGGCCCCGCGTCCGCAGGGCCCCACTGCAGCATTCCCTTCGCATAGTTTGGCGCCGTGGAATCCTCGTCTTAGGCTTTTCGGGACTCCTGAGCCCGATGGTCTGATCGAAGTGCAAAGTTCGGCGTGTCCAGTCAGCAGTGACTTCAGTAGTGTTCCCCGATGAATTGCAAGGAGAGCCTGGAAAGCAGGCGGGCGAATCTTTCTCCGCTTTTTTGCTGCTTCTAGTGCTCGGCGCCTGCAGATGGCGGTGCCAAGTGACCTGCCAGCCCTGGATCTGGTGGGTCTTGCTGTGAGCTTTGCCGACTCCATGTCAAACTTCGTCTGTTCAGAGGAGTGTGGCCTGGTCGTCCGGAGCGTGGGCTTCGACATCCTGCCTTTCCAGGCAAGGGCCTGTTTCCTCAATGGTGCAAGTTGCGGTCTTGATGGCGAAGCGGCTTTGCAGGGGCTCCCGCTGAGCGACCGCAACAGAGTTCCCCACGTCAACGGCTGCGTCCGCTCTTCAGGTCGTTTTGCGATGTTGCAGGTCTCCCGAGACCAGGATTTCGGGTTTAGGTGAGGGTCAGAAGTTGTGAGGGCTCGGGAAAGGATTGTCTCGGCGCCACTGACCGCCAAGGTTGAGCCGCCTTCAGAAAACCTGGGCGGACTCTATGTCTCGGGATGGGTCAAGCGTGGACCCCAAGGTTCGCTGTGCAGACCTGAATCCCTGGCCGGTGTATGTCGGTATCCGATAGACAGGCCGTCTTTGCCACAGGGCGGGCTTGTGAATTATGCCACTCCTCATGATTCCACTTCGTTTTCGCCTGCCAGGCATCATTGCATCAAACATCGGTGATGCCCAGGACTTTTCTCTGATGGCCGACCCTGACTCCCAAACTCGATTTCACCTCGACATAGTTACTGAGCATGCAAGGAGACAGCCGCGAAGGTAGTCATGGACACCCAGGGCAAGCCAGCGAAGGCAGGCCGTTGCTGCTGTCAGATCTGCTGCAAAATAGATCTTGCACTGCAGAGCAGCTCCTGTGAGTGACATAAGATTCAACCTGTCGCTTGAATACGTTGAGCTTCTTTTAGAGTGTCGTATGCTCCTGGAGAGGCATGGTCGACGGATCCCTTGAAGGAAGCCCTGAAAGAAGCAGGCGCGCGCATTCTTTCTGCGAGAAGCTGGTCAAGCTGCGGGGCCTACATAATTGCCTATACTATTTTGTGGGCTCCTTATTATCGTTATGGGATACGTCGACCTGCTTGAGAGGCAGCAGCGTCGTAGAGTTTCGGGACTGGCGGACCCTTGAGGCCGAGGACCGCGCGACCGCTGGCCACGGGTGCTGAGATCGATGGTTGCCTAACTGGGAGTTTCCGAAAAAAGGGGACCCGAATCTACTACCCTAAATAGTAGGATCCTTACTATAAGGACTCCAGAATAGGGTACCCCGACTTTTCGGAAAAGCACCGTGCCTTGCCAGGAGGTGCGACGTGGACAGGAGACGGGCAAGGCAGCTGCCAAATTCACTAGTGTGCCTGAAATGCGGCAGCCTGAGATCCTCTCGAACATCTTCTCTGAACCTCCATGTTTGTCTGCGTGGCTGTACGTCTTCAAAGTTTTTTATGGCCAAGATTGCTGAGGCTACACTTCCTCGCGAAAGCGTAGCTCGGTTCATAGCCGACTGCGGATCCAGACCATTACTGCGTGCGCATCGATTAGCGGAAAAAGTGCAATCTGCATCAGGGCGCAGCTGTGCTCAGATGGGTTGCGAGCTTCCTTCGACTTACAGGCCAGCTACATTGCCGCGGTGCCACCAGCAGATGTGGAAATGACCGATGCAGACAAAGGTGCAGTGAAGGACAAGAGGGCAGTTTGCCCCTTCTCCCAACCGCCAGTACTTGTAATCTTGCGGCAGGAAGTGGAAATCAAATTTCCCCAGCTCAGCAAGCCTTATGCCCCTGAGCTGGAAGCACAGGCCTCAGCGGCGACGCATACGAAAAGTCAGAGGCATGACGACGAAGCTCAGGCTTTTGCCGTCCTGATACTGGTAGTCAAGCTTTCAGACAAGCGAGATGACAAGCAGAAGGCACCCTTCAGCACTCAGGTCTAGGCTTCAGATGTAGTCGTTCATGTGACTTGCCGCAGGCGATGGAAGTCGCGAGTGCCATGGTGCTCTGGTTGAAGACGCGAGAACCCTGGGCAAAGTCCACATGCCTCTGTGAGTCAGCTTCATACGCAAGGCTCAACCGCCGCACTCTGGATCTCTTCAATGCAAGGGCGTGCTCTGAAACTGTTTTCGTCGGAGGTCATTGAAGCCGCACCGGGCACTGCCAACTGCTGGAGGTACTTCTATCTGTCGCTTGCGTACGAGAGATGTGGACGGTTGTCTGAGCCACCACCCCAGAGCATCACAGGCATCGGTTTGGAAGTATTGGTGGCAGATGCGTGCTTGTCTTGTGTTGAAGCTGAGGATTCGCCCAGAGCTACTAGCTGCGTATCGGAGTGTGGGGCCTTTAACCTGGCAGGGAATGCTGAGTAAAGCCATGCAGTGATATACGGAAGACCTGTGCAGGCATGCCTCCGGCATGACCAGATGGGCCAGGCTTCGATGCGGTTGCAGTTGCACTGAGAGTCTCCGGTCTTCATCCAGTTGCTTGCAGGCAACGCTGCTGAATCTGCTATTGCGAAACTACCTTGCCTACAATCTCTATGACCAGGCAATTTGCCGCATTGCATCCCAAGTGTGTGATAAAGAGTCGACGTCTAAAACACCAAAACAGACGTGACACCCTTCCCCAGCCGTGGCGTGGCTTGCTCTGTGCTAGGCTTCAAGCTCGTTCGTTTGCAGGCGTTGAAGCTGGTCTCAAAGACCAGCTTTCCGGAGAGCCGCCCCAACATGCAGCGGGGATCTCAGGTGGCATCTTATGTGCCTATTGAGTCATCGCGTCGGCTCCAAGGTATGCACGATACTTGTTCTATATCGGGCAGATCAAAGCCGTTCAGCTCGAGACTGCGCCTGAGCAAGGGGATCGGGTACCTAGAGACCCCAATATCCCTTAGTGACGGAAGATACCTTAAATTATAGTAGGATCCTTGACATGCTTTGAGGTATATTCCCCTTTCAATCGATATTGGAGTCTCTGGGTAGTTTTGCGCCTTCAGTTCGCCCGTCTCTTCTCCGGAGATAGAGCGGAAGGGTTCGAGCTGAGGTACTCGGACTCACACTCCAAGCTGATGCAAGCAATTCGAAAAGCGCCGCAGACCCCCGATGTGGCTTTGGGGTTCAAGCCCGGGACTCATCGACCTCCGTCCTATCCTGTTATGCCCAAAGCCCGAAGACGATCCCTACGACGCTTCAAGGCTGGCAGCCAGCAAGTTGGCTATAGTCGCACGCGCCTGAGTGGCTCTGCCACATTCCGGAAGCCTCATGCCTGCTGAAAATTGGAGGTGGAGCTGCTTATGGGTGGAGTTCCCGAGCGATCTTTCTTCACCCAGAAGGACTCCGAAGTCATACTTGATCGCGAAGAAGCCTCCTGACACCAAGCTTCCGCTTTGAGGAGTTGAAGGAGCATCTCCGACCGTACTATGTCCGGGGCTTGCGCCGGTACCAGTAGCCTCCCGTATTGTGACTTTGGCAGCGCCAAGGCTGCAACGCAAGCCGTCCGTTCCGGCGACTTGCATGCGCCCCTTGGCTCAAACAGCCTCCCTCCATCTGCTTCTGAAGGGCTCCCCGCGAATGCTTCAGGTTCAAGGAATGCACCAAGACGTACGAGGCGTTGTTCAAGAAGGCGAGGCAATCAGCCAGCACTCAACGATGCTCATCCCCGTTGCCGGGAGAGCACAAGCAGCTCAGCGGAGGACAAGACGCTGACCCTCATCAATCGTTTGAGATACAATGTCCAGGGCCTGGTCAGTTTCGGATCTTGCTTGCTTGGACTGTTCATGTGTTAGCTGCCGGCCCGGAGGATGGCCGAGCACGTCTCAAAAACGGGACTTAGGTCATCAAGACAGGCTTGCGAAGCATCTGCCTGGCTTATAGCAGGATCTCTCTGCAGGACGTCTGGAAGTGTTGTAGCGTGACCGAACCTCTGTGGGTGTCGAGCAAACGAGTCAGGACATCTGCACAAAGCTTGGGCTTGAGTCTCCGCAAGACGTCAGCGCCTGATGGCTTCCTGAATGGATGTACTCGAGGCGTGGAAGGCCATCTGACTCAAAACCCGAGGCTGCCGGCGTTGTGGCCAAAGCTGTCGTGGACGGGGTGATTGATGCAAGCTCTGCTGCAATTGAGTGCCTATGTGACATTTTGTGAGAACTTCATGTCTCGTTGTGGACCGGCCTAGACCGGCCTCGACTGGGCTCTTCAGGGTCCTCTGCCAGGCGACGATCGATTACGACCAGCAGTTTGTGAAGTCCAATCAGAAGATCGATCTGTACCATTCTACCGAACCTCAGAAGGCTGCGGCACAGCAGGGCTCAGCTTGTGACGAGGGGCAGTTTCTCTAGCTTTTGAAGAGGGATCCTTGCCTCGGACCAGTCTTGCTTCTCTCGTGTCTTGCGAGGCTCTGCACAAGCGCATTGCCTTCTGCCTGCAGATGCACAATGATGCTGTAAAAGCCATGGCGTACCCGGACGAGAACGACAACAAGGCAGGGCATGAGCGTCGTCGGGTTGTGATCCTTGCTTCATGCAGCAGTGACAGGACGCCGAGGATCCGGAAGAGAAGCGAGAGAGGGAGAAGCGTGAGTTGGCCAACATCGAAGAAGATGGTGGCGATGATGACATGATGATTTAGCTTCTATCTGTGGCTGTCGAGTGTGAGATACTGTATTCAACCCCCTTGCACAGCTAGCTTCTGCTGTGTACTGCTGCTTAGAGCCGCAGATAGCGTCAAGAGGTGAGGCAGTCCTTCCGATCAGACCGGCTGACAACGAGTTGGCATCATAGAACAGAGCTGCGAAAGCTGGCAGACTTCAAGAAAATGCAGGGTGCGACATCGGAAGTTGTTTGTCCGAAGCTGCACGCCAGAGTCCTGATTATGTTGCTTGCACCTTTGGACCTTATTGTTCGCCATGTCCGATCTGCACACACGAGGTACTTCACGCTCGACTTCGACAGGCAAATTTTCTACTATGCCCACAGCGAGTCACGAAAATCCCAGGTGACGGCTGCACGCTTTTGGTCTGTCGTTGGGTTTTCATTAGTCTTCCTGCTACTGTTGATCTCATGAATGTCGTCATGACTTCGTTCATGACATTATCTTTCTGCTGTCTCCGTCGGTACATCTGTCTTTGCATCTATCTAACTTGTCTATCTGCCTGCCTGTTAGCTACCTAGCTAGCTGGCTGGCTGCCTGTCTGTCTGTTTATCCATGTCTAAAGAAACACATAAATGGGTAATGAGATAAGTAGCTGCATAAGCACATTTATTATGGACATCAACTCCGACCCCAGCTGTGAGTCGTCGCTTTGAAAGCCAGGTCTCCAAGCCTATTCACTTCAGGGACATCCTGGGGGCTCATGCGGGACACAGCGCGCCTCCCAGAGTTTTCTGACAGCGTTCTCAGCATCGCGTCCACTGCTGACCGCCGAAGACTTGGACGGTAGGGTCTCATAATATAACTTACATGCGCACCACCGGCAGGACACGCCACCTAAGAACGCAGAAAAACAGTTGTTAGAGTCAGTATCAGAATACACGTAACGAGCTGTCGGTGCTATCTTTGGATGCAGCAGGCTATGAGCCGGATGATCTCGGTTGTCCTGGACAGGCTAGGCTCAGCTGCGTTGTGGTCTGAAGACGCATTCCCTTGGAAAAACCCGAAACCCTAAACGCTGAACCCTAAACCCTAAAGCCTAAACCCTAACTGTGCAGGCGAAGGTGACGCGAAGCCTTTCTGGAGTGCTATCAAGGTGCTCCGTAGAAGTCTGCTGGGAGTGGTTTGGTGGCACTGATGTTCAAAGGCCGCGACCGCCGGCCCCGGGAATCTTCCCATTTACGGTGCGTACCAGAGGGAAGAGGCAAGGCACCGAGACGCAACGCAAGGTTTTTTTTCTCCGGTACACTGGCTTTATGTCACGGGTGGCAGCAGTCGTTGCACCAGCGGTGTGGTCGTCGTCGCCGTCGTCGGCATCTTAGTCGTAGCCTTAGCCCTAGCCGTCGTCTCAGTCTGAGTCTTGCTCTTGGTCTTAGTCGTAGCAGTAGTCGTAGCAGTAGCAGGAGCGGTAGCCGGAGCAGGAGAAGTAGCAGCAGCAGTAGCAGAAGTTGGAACTAGCTATAGCTGTCGTAGCTGTAGTGCTTGCTTTCGTCCTAGGCAGGTAGTACCAGCACTACTACAGCACTACTTGGAGGGTTATATAAATAATAGGGAATTATACTTATAACCCATATTTGGGGACTTATAACCCCACTTATAACTACCCATGGACCTCCAAGTAGTGAAGGGGCGGCCTTGAGGCCCTTCAAAGCTTTAAGAGCGCCGTGGGAGGTTGCGACTGGAGGCAGAGGTCGAATCCGAGGTCTTTCAATGGATAGACCCTGGGCGGCAGATTTGGATGCTTGCGTGTGCAACTTCTGTATAAGCCCTTGTCTTGTTACTGTTCTTAGTGTTAGAGTGCATCTTCAACAAAGTTCAGCCGGCAGTATTATGCTTATCACTGCTCGTGGCTGCTCCCAGTTTCTTGGCCGACTGTCTTCTTTGTGTTCTGTGCAAAGAGCTGTTTGATGCTGTTTGCGACACCGGTGCTACGCAGAGGCCATGCTGAACGCGGCACATCGCATAGGCCGCTTCAACGTTCAGCTCTGGCTGTGGCCGCATGTTGCAGTCAACCTGTGGCAGGGGAGGATGTGGATTTGTTGTCTTCATCAACTTGGCTTCCAGGCTCGGGGCTAAAAGATCTAAGAACTGCATGGCCAAGCTGGCTCATAAATACCACATAGTACTATTTTTTCTGGTAAGCATTATGATGTACCAGTTACTAGCTACTATATACATACATATACATACATATACATATATATATATATATATATATATATACAAAGTGTAGAAGATCCGTGCGGCAAGTCTGGCCCGACTGACAGACGCCCCAACGGCGAGCCCGAGTTCCAGATCGCCGAGGCTCACGGTTCAGCAATCCTCCCATGGTCAAAACCGCTGCCCGACGGACGAACAAGCCTTCCCCATCTGGGTGGTTGTCGAAATTATGGTCCCTTTTTGGGTCCCGAATATAGTACGGCACCGACTGTTTAGGGCACCCAAAACAGGGATCCTAATTTTGACAACTACCCATCTAACTGACAGAAGTCAGAATAACCGGCATAAAAAGCAACATGTCCGAATTCCAGACCCCGTGGCCGCGGCCTCTACCTAAGCAACGGCAGGTCTGAAGCGGGAAAGGCTCCTTCCGTGACGTCGATAGAGGCCCCTGCCGCTGCCTGTGTTTATGTCGTTTTCGCGCGATGCCTTACCCCAAAGCCCCGTAACCTTAAACCCCAGACCCTACACCACTCTTCTTAAGGGCCACAGTCGAGCCAGGCCTCCCAAATGTCCACTACCGCCGATGCAGATGAGAACTACTCCGAGCTGGGAATGTTATGACCTCAGGGAGGTCGGAGGGTTTAGGGTGTACGCGTTCAGGGTCAGGATTTGGAAAAGAGACTGATGATAGTGATAACCATACTGAGAGTCGAAATGTTCAGAGGAACGAGGACGTTGCTCAAAGTGGTGAAAACACTATCCACGAAGAGTCACAAGACGCATAGCTAAGAGGCTATTGCTGTAGCAGAAAGACTTAATCACCCCCTAAACCTAAACCCGAAACCCTAAGACCTAAACCTTAAACCCGAAACTCCCGAAACCCTAAAGCCTAAATCCTAAACCCTTGTTGAGACTTAAAGGTTTCGACCGCTGCTTTCTTGCTTAGGCCGTCGCCACACTCCAAAGCATGGTCTGAGACCGGTTGCGAGGCGGGTTTAGGGGTTTGGGTTTTAGGGTTTACCTGAACCCACCAAACACTACTCTTGCCACTTTGTTGTAGGTTCTTATTATACACCCTAATTTGGAATCCGTAGGGACCCTACAAAAAGAAGGCAGGGTGAATTACCGTCGTAAGACTTTACCAGACCCTGCAGGAGCTGGATGTCGGTGAGGACACGGTGCTATGAATCTTTCAGCCAGCTGCATTTCGCTTTTGTTGGAAGCCATTTCCAGACTTGCAGCCGAGCAGCGTTCGGGCATGTTTTCACAATGCTCAGTTTCATGTTCCTGCCGCATTCTGCCACCTCAAGCTGTAGGCGTCTCAACAGTGGTTCGCCTGTTGAGACTTCCCATCATATCATGTTGGGTCCCTTCTGTTTTACAGTCCAGGATAGGAGGCACAGCCTCCACATCAAGATCATCCAACATACCTGCATTCCCCCGGGCACCAGACACTTCCCACGCTGTGCCCGAGCAGAGTAGCGTGTAACGCCGCGCTGCTACCTTCAGTTCCACAGCGCGTCAGAGCTGCAAATTTCCGCTGCGGTTTGAAGCTCAGATGTGACACACGTATCCCTGGATTTAGACGCCAATCTTGTCTGGTGTTTCTGCTTGTCTTGACGGTCAGTTGATTAGCACTGCCCAGGTGCGTGCGGACGTGCATCCACCGAAGCCGTTGACCAGCAGGATTGAGCCAGCACTACGTTGCTTTGTTCCCGCACCTGTTTACTTTGCACAGTCCGAGGTGCTGTTGCAACAGAAACAGTACACGCATACAGCAAGCAGGTATGACAGAAAAAGCAAAATCACAAAGCCATCCAGTGACGTATATCGCTGATGATGCATGTCTAGAGACTAAGCTTCCTTACACAGAGTATACGCTCAACTGGCACAGCGATGTTTCCCTGCTTCCAGGATGACCGGAACCGTCCCAGGCCAGAGGGTGCTCCAGCGTCGCAACATCCCGAAATTTTGAGCCCTTGAGGCTTTAGGGTTGCACGGCATAGGGTTTATGGTTACGCAGTTTAGGATTTAGGGTTACGCGGTTTAGGGTTTAGGGGTTATGCGGCTTAGGGTTCAGGGTTTCTTGAAGGAGTCCAGCTCACCAACCGCCTCTTGCAGACCCGCAAGGGCAGTGAAGCCCGAGCCCTCGAATTCCCCCAAGGCTTCGAGGTTCTGTAGTAAACCTGCCCACCACAGCATCTAAGTAGGGTTACATTATAAGCAGGGCAACTATACTTATAACCCCTATTAGGGGACTTATAACCCCCACTTATAGCTATCCATGAACCTCCAAGTAGACCCGGAGTCCCCGCAAGTCCTTGCATCAGTGACACCTCAAGCCAGAAACCCCAAACCTCAACAAAAACCACGTCGACTTGTCGTCCTAACATCAAACCTCATAACCCCAAGCGCTAATCCCCGACCCCTAAGCCCTCAACCCTAAGCCCGCAAGCCTGATATTTCGTTATGTACATCAGGCACCAGAGTTTCGCGTCTGGATTGTGAAATGATTGCATGCGTACACCCCACAACAAGAAATCTAAACCTTAACAAACCCTCAACCATAAATCCTAAACCCCTAAATCCCTGAACCCTACACCCCAACACCCCTAAACCCGAGCCCCCTAAACCCCTAAATCCTAAACCCCCCTACACCCCAAACCCTAAACCCCTAAACCCCTAAACCCTGAGCCCCCTAAACCCCAAATCCTAAAACCCTAAACCGCAAAACCCTAAACCCCAAACCCCAAAACCCAAAACCCCCAAACCCAAAACCCCCAAACCCCAAACCCCTAAACCCCAAACCCGCAAACCCAAAACCCCAAATCCTGAATCCGAAGAAGCCCCAAAGAACCGCTTCAGCACCTCCCGGGCTCGCTCCGAACCCGAGCCTCGGGCTGCCGGGACCTCAAACCACCAAGCGGTTCCGAGGTTTAAAGAAACAAGTTCCGTGGGTTTTTTACAAACCCTGTGTTTCGGAGTTAGGGGTTTAGGGGTTCAGGGGGTTTCGGGGTGTAGGGTTTTAAGTTTGAGGTTTAGTGGTTTAGGATTAGGGTTTGGGCTTCGCGCTTCGGAGTTCAGGTTGCAGGGTTTAGGGTGTCTGAGTCGGAGTTGTAGGGCTTAGGGTTGGGTTTAGGGTTTAGGGTGTTGGAGGACAGGGGTGTGTGGGCGGATATCCTGAGACCATAAGGGTTTGATTAGGATTTGGAGGGGCTTTGAGGATGTTAGGATATGGGTTGCTTCTCGTCCCACTCTTTTGGCTTCAGCAGCCGCGTGCAAGCAACTGAATCCTCGCTTGCAAGAAGTTGATGCAGGTAGTGGAATATGTGACGATGTATATGTATATATATATATATATATATATATATATATATATATTTGTATACAGCTCCAAATTGCATATACGTATGTGTGTAGAGGTGTATATCTACATCTATCTGTAAAGATATATATATATATACACACATGTTGCCATTCATGTATTTGTTTATATATGTACTTACGTGTGTGTATATACAGATATACAGGCAAACACATCTGCATACATGTTTATCTGTACGCACGACCTCTGTGCAATATCTTGTTACACATATACACTCCTATGTCATGTTTATATGTATATTATGCATACCATGTGTATGCATGTGTCGACAAAGGGAAATATACACCTGTGTATGCACCGATCTGTATATTGAGTTGCCCGCAGCTCGTATTTGTAATTTGGGTCCCTGCTTCTTATACGCATGCATGTATCCACTGTGTATACAAACTAGATATCTGTAAACACTTGTGTATCTGTACAAACATATACACATGTGCAAACGTACATCCACAGATATTATGTGTAAATATCTAAATATACGTGTATATATGTACATGCAGAAATGTACATGTGCGCATATATTCTTATACATGAACAAGTGTATGTATGTATGTATGGATGGATGTAGATACGCGCAACATTGATATAGGTGTAAGCAGCAAGAGTTTAAATCACGAGTTTAAATATCACATGTGCATGTACATATTAATGAGTAAGTAAGTATGTCTACATATATGCATACATATGTATATGCCCAGGTTTACGTAAACATGCCTGTTCACCTGCGCAAGCGTCACACCGGTTGATAGATAGATAGGTAGCTAGGTAAGTACGTAGGTAAGTATGTAGGTAGGTAGACGGCCGGACGGCCGGCCGGACGGAGAGATAGGTAGGCAGGTAGATAGTTAGATCGATAGAGCGACCCTAAACTTCAAACCCTAAACCCCAATCCCTGAACCCTAAACCCTGAACCCTAAATCCTGAACCCTAAACCCTAAACCGTTATTCATACTTGCTATTTATCTATGCTCCAAGCAGACCTCCGATAACTCAGGCCGAGTGCTGCCCTCAACGGACTCAGCCTCAGAGGGCTCGATGGTTCAGGGTTTAAGTTGTATCATGTTTCTTCGTATAATTGACGTAGTAGATATTATGGAAATTATGCCAGTAGACCATATAATATGCATTATATTTAGATATCTACCATAATGCATTGGTCCAGTTGAACAGAGATTATACGGTCTGGGGACTCAGGGGTTGGGTTCAGGGCTTGGGCTTAGGGTGGACAGCTTTCGGCTTAGAGCTCAGGGATTCAGGATTGTTCAAGGCTTAGGAATTGCGAGGCAAGATTCAGGGGCTCGAGACCTCGCGAGGCCTTGACCGCAAAGAACGTGCTGGTAGAACTGTTTGTGCGGAGCGCTCTTCGTGAGCTAGCAGATGGTAATGTCGAACCCTGTAGTCTGTGTTGGGTGCTTCTGCCCGTAGAAGCCAAGGTGGCGCACGATCCGAGGAGTGCTGCTTTCGGCGCATTCGTGGTGAATGCTCCAAAGCGTCCGTTTGTTGGTGTGCAGCCGTTCAGATGCAAAGCGAGTTGCAGGACGTTACAACGGATGTGAAGCAGGAGATCTCGAACAAGATAGGACAACAGGTGGCCGGGGGTGGTGTTTCCAACTCCGCCCACCCTCGATCTGCCCAAATCCCACATCCCCAAATCCCGAAGCGCATCCTGAACCCTAAGTCGAACTTTGATGTGTTCCAGGTGCAGACCCTGTTGCTTCAAGCAAAGAAAGAGTCCGAGCAGAAGGCCTGCGATTCTTGTCGATTTTTGTGTTGCAGTTCTCGCTCTTACTACAATCATTGCAACACTCGTTGCAGTTGTTCCCATTCCCTCATTCTGATGTCCCGTTTGAATCCAGGTGACCGCTGAGCTGAAGCTCCTGCACCATGCCATGCAGGACCCGGGATGTCTTCAAAGACTTGACGGCTCCATGCCATACAGCCCTCTCATGAAAAGCTGATTCGTACCAGGAGATGGATTCTCGCCTCGGGCCCAGTGGCATAGACATGGCAAGCTCTGGCTCTTCGCCGCATCGTGAGCAGCGCTGGGGTCCCAGGACTTGATGGTCTCGTCAAGCAGCTGGACGATATGCAGGTGCAGCCGAACCAGGAGGCATGTTTGCACCATCTCGCACCCGCGACTGCGACTCGCACTGCTCACGTCAAGCTGTGGCAAGTGCAAGGCCCTGGAGCAAGCAGCAGTGGTGCAGGCCCTGGCGAAGGTTGAGCAGCAGTGGGGCAAGGCCTGTCCCTACTTCTATGAAGCGATGCCTCTGATGTTCGTCTGTGAAGCTCATCGTGAGGAACTTGGCAAGCTCAAGGGGGAGCTGCATCAGCTGATGGGCTGCAGATAATTTCTCTCCAGGGCCTTTCGGCACTTGCAGTGCACAGCAAGCCTCGAGTCCGCTTACACCCTCAGGACGATCTTTGCGCACAACCACAATGCCGATCTTATGAAATATCAGAAGGACCGCCCTGCGAGCTCTCCCGTGTAGCCACATCCGTGCACTGGTTTCCAGGAGACTCTGGACAAGATACGGCAGGAGATAGACGCGCACCTTGGCATGCTCTCCGTCCTGGCTCTTTGGGAGCATTCCTTATCCACATTGGGTTCGATCTTTGCCCCTCTGAGGCGAAGCAATTCCAACCCGGACAAGATCAGGGTGCGGGGTGTACCATGTTTCTTTTCACACTGATGTTCGGATTCCTTAAGAATTCTTCATTGCGTGGTTGCATGCGTCTGCAATTTGTAAGACAGTAAGAGCTGTGATGGAAGGCGGCCAAGGCCCAGGTGGCAAAGATCGAGACCATGTCCAAGGCAGGTCAAAGACACGTCTCTCTGGGCTTCGGGTCCTGAGCGTCAAGGGTTCTCAAGCGATCTTCAGGGTTTGCTGGGAGCCGAGCCAATGCCCTGGTCGTGGCAAGAGCTCCTCACGCCGTTTGCAGCGATCGTTGGCCCAAGCATAGCCGCATGTAGCTGCAGACGCTCAGCACATGCATTGCAACTCAAGTCAAGCATTACGGTGCTTCGTTGCCGGATAAGGCGAGGTAGAAAGGTCAAGATTTGCATGTGCCTTCATGGCGGATGGCCAGCACCTGGCGCAGTCCCGCTACGCAGAGGAGATCCGGTGCACCTTCCACGGCTCTCCGGTGCGCCTTCCACCAAGACTCAATCCCTCAGGATGCCGTGCCTGTGGGCCATCGGAGCATTTGGGGCTCCTGGCCGGGGCCCCTCACCGGATTGCAAAGGGGCATCCTTGGGTAGTGTTGCTGTAGAAGAATCCCATGAGGTATGACAGCGGCTCGGGGGCGTGGGGATATGCCGCAGCCCCGTCTCTCTCGTTTCATTTCCTGCTCTATAGGTTCTTCTAAGTCTTCTAAGCGCATCCGTTTGAGGCTTGCTGCAAGGCTACAAGCCGGTCTGCTACGCCCTGCGCAGCCATCGAGCCTCTCGTTTTCAGCTCTAGGGTTTAGGGGAACCCAAAGACTCCAATATCCCTTAGTTAACGAAACATGCCTTAAGTGATATTGGGGATCCTACTATAATCTGAGGATTCACTTATAGAGCCCTTATAGATCCCTTTAAGGAGCCCTTTAAGGAATCCTCAGTCAGAGGCATATTCCTTAATCAAGGGATCTTGGGGTCTCTGGGAAAGTCGGGAATCGGATCTTCTTTGACGGAGTCTTCACCTGGAGCTGAGGTCCGAGCTCTCGGAGGTTCGGAACCCTAAACCCTAACGTAGGAACCCGATTAAGAAACCTTGGGCCTTTATTAGGGTTCCTTATATGAATCCTACTACTTTGGGGGTTATAGAGGCCCAGGGCCTCTTAATCAGGTTCCTACATCAAACCCTGAACCCTGAACAAGCTCTCTACCCTTCCGGTGAGGCGGGTCCACCAGCGCGAGCGGCCGCGGCGGCCGCAGCCCTAGGGCCCTACATGGGAGTTTCTGAAAATAGGGGACCCTAACCTCATAGTAGGATCCTTATTATAAGGACCCCAAACTAAGGTAACCCTAATTTTCGGAACCTCCCACATCCAAAGAGCCCCTATACCCTATACCCGGGGAAGAGAAGCGGTGGCCAGTCCGTGGATCCAGGACCAGCCGGAGGTGAAGCTGACCTGGCGCGCCAGAGACGACTTCGAAACAGCCGAAGGCCATGAGATGCGGCCATGATGGGCCGCTGCTTGAGGACATTATTATCACTGCTGCGATTACTACTATATACTAGTATTGTGACTGTTACTACAGTTATTGTAACTTCTACTAGGATTATTGCTATGACATTTCCTGTGACTATAACTGATAGATACTGATAGCACGTCTCTGTGACAGGCTTCATAATCCACTCCTCGAAGTACCTGGCTTCGCAGTGGCTGAGGCCATGGTCCGGAGCATAGAAGCTGCAGCTTCCCTTGCCTCTTGAACTCGCAGGTGGCTGCAAGACGGCAAGCTCACAGAGGTAGCAGAGAAGTTTGATCCCGACGTTCGGAAGGCACGGTCACCAAAGCTCCTCGCCTTTGCTCCTGGGGTCCTGGTCCGAAGAGAGGTGTTGCTGTCTGAGTCGGCAGCCAAAGAGGCCTGCCAGCAGGCGAGCATTGCTGTAGTTCCACATCGCGGGGTGCGGGCTAGTTAGACGAGGGTTTTGGGTTTATCTCATGTTAGCAGTCTATTAAGGACCCCAGTAAGATGCAAAGTCGAGAAGAGTGGGAGAAGGTTCGGAGATTCTGCGAGCGGCTTGACGATCGGGTTCCCGTCGAGCTGTCTCAACCTCTCGAGGCTGGGAGAAGACGCGAGCATCAGGGATGTTTAGGATGCTGTAGGGGCCTTAAGAGTTACCTATACCATTTTGGGGGTTTCCTTATTATAATTTTAGTATCATGGGCCCCAAAACCCTATTCTTCTTCTTCTTATTAAGGCCCCTGCATTACAATTTATGCTAGCTCTTGGCTGTTTTGACTTCAGGACTTCTGTGGCTGCATTGGTCCCATACTCAGCCATGGCAGAAAAGGGGGCACATGGGACCAATGACCTGCTCTGATTCTGCATAAGAAAGCCAGGGTCAAGAGAGTATGTCAAAGCCAACAAGGCCGGCGGGAGAGCGGTTGAGGGTTTAGGGTTTAGGGAGGAGTTGGTGCCTCGTGGCCGTAGCCTGCAGGCCTATATGGACATCGTGATGGGCTCGAGGAAGTGGCAAGGAGATGTCCCGTACCTTGTTGAGGTGGGCTCTCTCACAGCAATGGAGTCCCCTGAAGGGCTACTATAGGATTCCTTAGATCTGTCTGAGGGCAATCGCAACGGTCCATCGGTGGTGCAAAATGTGGCCGAGCGGCTGAACAAGACGAACGCTGAGCCTTGTCCACAGAACCATTCGACAGAAGCGCGTCTCTGACTGGGTCAGATTGTACATCTAAAGAGACGGAAACAGTAATCAAGATGCGCTGCAGAACCCACTGGACCAAGCTGGGATCCGCGACCACGCAGTAGTTCTGCGCAGACTGCTGAAAGTCGCACAGGTACCAGCCGGCACGCTTAGGGTGTTGAAGGGCCGTGGGGGTGGAGGCTTCGGGGTTCTTGTTGCGATTTCATGCGCTGTTGATCTGTTTGGATCTTGCTGGAAGGCAGTGCTGCCCAACGAGGATCCATCCAAGAACTGTGGTTGAGCCGAAACGACACCAGAAGTCAGGGCAACCTCGCACTGGAGCTTGGCGAGACGCTTCACCCCACCACTTGGACCATCGGATTGGCGTTTCGGATTCCGCAGAACTTCAGCTAGAAGATGTAGAGCTGCTTTCGACAATTCGCTCGACGAGCGTGGCCGTCGGAGCTGCGAGGAGATGGCAGTAGATCGGAACTAAAGAGGCAGAGTCGGAATGGCTGGTTTCGGCGCTTTGCTGCTGAAGCCTACCAGGAAGCCAGCCGCACAGAAGAGCATCTGACAGCGTCGAGGAGTGTGCCACAAGAACGCATCCTGCGAAGCGAAGCCGCGGAAAAAGGTTGACCATACGGTCTTGCGGAATAGCAGGAAGCGGTTCAAAGCGTGCTATTCGCCGAAACTGCAGGGAGCGCAGAGACAGAAGTTGGATCCTCTTCTGGCGAGGCAGCCAGTCTCATCTTGTCCTGCTCGTCTCATCGAATCACCAAGCAGAGCCTGTGCTGGTCGACAGGATGTCAGCCTTAGAGCAAAAGATCTTCCGATGGATGCAGAGCGGAGGCGCCCTGCCGGTCACTGCTTCGGAGAAGCGAATGCTCGGGTAGAGATACGCAGGGGAAACTGGTTTGGAGTGTGGACTTGTGACTGACGGTTTTCGGAATGGGACAAACCCAGAGATTCGAATAGCCGATAATGAAGGAACAGTTTATGGTACGTTATATTCCCTAATTAAGGGATATGGGAGTCTCTAGGAACCCGATCTCCCTTCTTCGGTTTCTCTCTCGGAGAAGAGAGGGCCCGAGCTTGCGAGGCCCAGCTGCAGCAACTGCCCGGCGCTGAGCCTTCGCACTCCTTGCCTTTGGCTAGTAGGGAATGGAGGAGTAGGGTACCATCATAACTACTATTACTACCGTTTTTCCATTCCCTACTAACCAAAGGTAAGCTTCGCACTCAGACGCTTTGAGAAATGCAGCGTTTGGCGTGGCACTGCCAGGCCAAATATCCCGCGGTTCCTGGAGTTGGCCTCGCTGGATGCTGAGTGCAGCTTTCATTTCTGTATATATATATATACACACATAGAGATATTATACATACATATATATATATATGTATGTAATAAGTATGGTGAGTGATCGGCCCTGGGCTCGCGGCTCGGGCCAGGCCGGCTTTGGCTCCACGCCGTCGGCCACAAGGCGCCTTCTGACCGCGAGAGAGTAGATCCCCTAATTTGGGGCCCTATACTACTAAGGGTACTTTATAGGAACCCCCATTAAGGGATCTACTTCAGTTTATAAGGCCCCCTGAAGGGATCATAATAGGGCATAAGGCCCCTTTAAGGGATCATACTTACTAGGGGCTTTCAGCTTTCAGCGCTTTCCATTGCAGGGCGATGGCCAAGCAGCAATCCGTTCTCACCCAGGCCGAGGTTTTGCGGAAAGTGGCTTCTGCGCACTTCGTCCGACTCCTCTTCAGCTGTGCCTCTGCTCAGGGTATCGCAGGCCTCAGCTTGGCTGAAAACCCCTACTACGGACTGGCCGGGCCGATGCCTTTTTCCACATCTTTTCATTTCTCTCTGCCTCTGACACCCTCTTTGTGTGAGTTCCCCTCCTCTCAGGTCTGAGGGCTTCGAAGGTTTGGAAGCTTCCACGGCGATGACGGCTCCGGCCAAGACCCAAGAGGCACCCGAAAGCTCCGCCTCATCCCTGGGCTCTCGTCGACCGAGGCAGGTCTGGAAGAGGAAGAGGAGGATGAGGACAGCCTGCAGTCTGCCAGCTTCTCAGCCTGGGAGGCGGCTCTAAAGCCCACATTGAGCTCCATTGCAGTTTCTGGCTTGTCACTTGATACCATGATCTCTGTCATGACTCGTACATGTGTTTTGTGTTTATGGTATACGGTCTTATCGCGGTACATTCTCTCATGCTTTGCATTCTATGTCATGCTATGTTGCATTGTGTTGTCATGTATTATGCTACAGCGACAATTCAGAAACTACTAGTATAGCATAGTAGACACATGCGGTATAAGTATCATCGTGTAACATGATGCTTCTTCAGTGCTAGAATATGACCTTCGGAGTTGCAGGGTTCTCACCACAACAGACCACGAGGTCCTTGCAAAGGCATTGGCAGCAGCGTCTGCCGGCAACGGCCTCAAACTTCTGTCGTGATGCTTGCTTCGGTTGCTTCTCCCATTTTCCATGGACAAGGGCTTGTTCTCTCTGGAGCATAACCCCTAACGGAATACCCAAATAAACCCTAAACCCTAAACTCAAGGGTGTAGTTACAGGTGGTCTAAACCGGGCCTGCCTCATTGAGGTTCTCCATGCACTGGAAAAAGGTCCTCAAAAAAACACTCTAAAGGCCCAGAGACGAGGAAGAGTAGCTTCTGAGGAGTGTCGGCAAACAGGCCTTCTACTTCGGTGGATTCTGGACGTTAGCACGCCAGTCAAAGCCAACAACAAGCCTTAAACCCTAAACCTAACCCTAAACCCTAAACCCTAAAAAACAAAAACCTAAACCGCACGGCCGGAGCCGGGGGGGGGGGGTCCCCAGGCAGCTCTGGAGTTGCCTCCGCGTAGCGTGTGCCACTTTCGGCAACATTTTGCCAGATCCTCGGTGGGCTCTTAGGGTTTAGGGCTTAGGGTTTAGGGTTTAGGGCGGGTTCTTCGATTCGATGTGGTCGGAGAGCTGTGAGTGTCTTGCGATTTTTTGAGGTGTAGCTGGGACTGCAGAGCTGACTGCACCTGCGCCAATGGGGCTACCGAAAGCCCGTTTGAAAGATGGGTTTAACGCTTTCTGCTTTTGGGCAGCACGCCCTTTCGCGGATGGGTGGGGACGTGCCTCATCGCACAACCTGCTGGGAATTCACTCGCGGCTCAACGACATCGGGCTGCCAATGTCAAGTCCGATCTTCATGGCTTTTCTGCAAGAAGTGAGCTTTGAATCTCTTTCGATCCCTGTGGATTACTTGGACATGCTGCGGCAAGGCCTGGCTTGGCCAATCCTAAGTCTTAAGCATCAAAAAATGAGTCGAGCTGTAGCTTTCTGTAGCTTTCTGAAGCCTCGCCGGCGCTGCCCGGGCATCGTCCAGCCCCCATCTTTAAACAGCAGGAGCTGTATGATGAGTTTTGCTTCAATGTTTCGTGCTCGCTCATCCACAGACACGCAGGGTCCACTGCAGAGAGGTCGCACAAAGGTCGCTTCCGCACGATTTGCATACCAGCAGCCTCAGTCTTGGGATAGGCAGTCTCTTTTGACTGGCGGCAGGACCTTGAAGGTGAGCCTTTGATCGAAAGCAGAGGCTGAGAGAGACACGAACTCGACGAAGAAGTTTCCTCGCCTGGGCCATGATCCTTAAATCTGGGTTGCAGGCAGCGAGGACGTCAAGGCAGAGGCATCCTTCTGGCATTTTTGGTTGGAAGGCTCGCGCCCTTCGGTGCAGTTGAGTTGTCGGCCAGGCTGAGCCGAATTGCCTCAAGGCAAGGCCGTAGATGCTTACACACGCAGCTTTTGAGAGAGTCTCTGCTACTCGTCCTCCTTCAGGCGTCTGATTTCGGCTTCGAAGAGGACGAGTGGCCGGAGGAGGCTGATCTGCAGGACTGCTTGAGATTTTAGGGTTTCAAATCAGGTTTAGGGTTCAGGTTCTAGGTTTTCTAGAAGGTTTGCTGCAGACGAGGTGCCGATGCTTCCTGTGAGCTGTGAGGAATCGAGCCCGTCCAGTCCATCAACTCCTCGTGCTGTCGAGGCGCCCCTCGAAGCTCGTGTCAGAAGCCAGAAGGGTAGCAGTCGCCCAAACCCTGTACTTGTAAACCCTATCCCAGGCTCCTGAACCCCAGGCCCATAGGAAGTCAGACCGGCAGCAGTCGCCTATACCCTAAACCCCAAACCTGCAAACCCCGAACCCCAAGCTCCAAAAGGTCCTAAACCCTGCCTAGGCCATAGACTCCGAAATCCCACACCCTAAACCCTAACGTTTGCTGCAGGCTCAGCCGCGCCCGGAGGAGGTGCAGAGCGAGGAGCCTGCAGAAAAAGCCGCCCAATTTTGGGGCTCGAAGAATACTAATATACAATAATCATAACCATAGTAATCATAGCAATATCCATTTCAGGGCTTTGAGAACAAAGGGGTTTAGGGTTTTGGTGTTTAAGGGTTTTGTTTGCGAGAGCTCCTCCGAGATTCTGAGATGCGCAGGACCCCGAGGCACCGCCGACATGCAAGGAGCGACCGGTGAATGTCAGTGAATATGCGATGTGGAATTTGGAATTCGGAGTTTTTGAGGATTTTGGGGTGGAGGTTAGAGGCTCCGAAACCCCAAAATCCTACCCAAACCGGGTTGGAGACGCTCCATGCAGACCCAAAGAGGCCTTCAAAGAACAATCCCTAACCCCTAAACCCCAAATCCCCAAACCCTAAACCTCGAATCCTAAACCCCTAAACCCTAAATCCTACGCCCCTAAACCCCAAAATCCCTAAAGGGCCCTAAACCGGGTTTTGCCCTTCAGGTCTCCGAGAGAAGAGCCGTGGAGGCGGAGCCAAAGGCGCGCCAGCTCTGCGGTTCGGAGATGCTGGGATCCGTAGCTTGAAGTTGTCCGAGGAATACATAGATACACAAACAAGTAGGTGCATGAAGAGATGCTGTGATGAAATGAAAGAGAGAAAGACTGAGTACATGAATGAATGCATGAATGTTTGAATGAATGCACGGATGCATGGATAAATGCATGCATGCATGAATAGATGGATGGATGGATGAATGAATGGAATGTGTTGATGAATGAATGAGTTGATGAATTAATGGAAAATGAATGAATGATTGATTGAATCAGAACTGAACGACGAAGCCAATAAAGACACATGTTTGTATGTATGTATGTATGTAGGTAGGTAGGCAGAAAGTATACATATATATATATATATCTATGTGAATGTATGTTTGGTATATAACGTACTGATCCCCTTTCAGCATCCGATAGGAAGCTTGTTCGCAGGCCGTGGTGACCAGCCCATTTGTTGGAGGCCGGCGGCCACTCTGAAATGGGAGTTTCCGAAGATAGGGGACCCTAATATATAGTACCCTAAATCGTAGGATCCTTCTTATACGGACCCCGAAATACGGGACCCCTAATTTTCGGAAACCTCCAAATCCTTCAGCTGGTTCCACAGCCTTGTGAGACCTGAAGGCTATCAGCCCAGTCAGACCGAGGAGGCCGGCCGGCGGGTGAAGGGGCCATTATTGTGATAGCCTATTATAGTATATATATATATATATATATCGTATTATAGAGTATGTTATAGTAGCTGACAGTATATTATCGTATTATAGAGTATGTTACAGTAGCTTCCAGTATAGTATCGTATTTTAGAGTATGTTGTAGTAGCTTACAGTATATTATAGTAATATAGGTTATGTTAAAGTAACTTACAGTATATTATCGTATTATAGAGTATGTTACAGTAACTTACAGTAGAGTGTGCTACAGCAGCTTCCAGTATATTATCGTATTATAGAGGCTGTTGTAGCTTACCGTATATTATCGCATTATGGAGTATGTTATAATAGCTTACAGTATAACTATCGTATTATAGAGTATGTTATAGTAGCTTACAGCATCTCGTAGTACAGCTTAGAGTATGTTTTGCCAGGCTGCCCGCATTGCTGCGGACCTGCGCCTCTTGCAGCTTGAGGCCGCCAGGAGGCACGTCCACCCGCACTTCCACTGTGGGCCACTGTGTGTGGAGCCTTGAGCATTGAGGTCATTCAGAGGTCGGGCGCGTCCAAACCCTGTTCTTGAATAAGGCTGGGCCCTGATCATCTCATCGATCCCACGAAAATATTTAGGCTTTAGGGCTTGGGGTTCAGGCTTTAGGGCTTGGGGTTTAGGCTTTAGAGGCTTGGGGTTTTGGTTTTAGAGGCTTGGGGTTTGGGTTTTAGGGGGTTGGGGGTTTTCGGGTGTTTTTCGACCGTGCCCAGGCTTCCGCCTCGGAAATTCGTTTCACGGACGCTCCTTGCTGGCGCAAAAAATGCAGCCGCTGGGTGTATCCCAGAAAGCCCGTTCCTGTGATCGCAGGATGTGGGCCACGTTAGCCATTGGGAGTTTCCAAGAGCCAGGAGCCCTTCAGAAATTTAAAGAACATCGGGTTCCGATCGTTGGAAATCCCCACGAATCTTTATTGTTTGGAAAGTTCGGGTACCCTCCGTAACAGAATTTTCAGATCATGATCTTCGACAGTTTTGTGCGGGCTACGTCTCCAAGAGACTGCAGCCTTGTTTGGCCATGGGCAGGAGAATGACACCTTTCTTGTGCGACTTGCCATGACTCTTACCGGAAGTGTGTCTGCAACAGCCTGACTTGATTATTTAAACTCGCCGTGTTCTGCCGAGGGAGAAAGTCTGCATTAGCTGGTGCCGGCTTCACAACAGCTCTTTCTTGAGGTCAGGGCATGTTGATTTGGAACCTGTCATTTTTTCAGAAAACTCGTGTAGCCCCAAGCACATTGGTAAGTTTGTTTCTTTTCAAGAGTCGAGCGTCTAGCCGCATCGCGCATCTGTGTATATGTTCTGTACAGATGCATATGTACAGTTTGTACAGCATGCGTATGAACACGGATGTTCACATCTATGCATTCATGCTGGCCGATCAAGACATCTAGCGACCTCGCAGGCTAGCTTGCAATACCATGACCGAGTCCTCAACAATAGATTTCTGGGCACTGCCATCTACCCTAAACTCTACACCCTAAGCCCCTAAGACCCAAACCCCTGAACCCCCAAACCCTAAAACCTCCTTCCGGGCACTTGGGATGGCTGCTGTCGAAGACTTTTCGGCGGACCCTGAGTCCGAAGCTCCCTTCATCGAGACACGGGGGCGAGTTTTCAAATGCTGGGCCTGTGGAAGGGGCCTGGACGGATCCTCGGAGGAGGTGAAGTGCAGCTTCTGCGGTGCCTTGAGCGACTTCCAGCGAAGGGACACGAAGCCGGCACTGCTGCGGATGGTTTTCGCAGTTTCAGACCTCGTGTCTGTGCCGGTTGTTCGCCGAATTTGGAGCTTCTTCATGGTCGTCTTCGTCCTGGCCGCGATCAATAGCATTGCTGTGCTGGGTGTGTTCTACATCTACCCAGACTTTTTGGGTAGCGCCTCAAGGTGCGGGGTGACAGTCTGCTTGCATGTGCAGAGAGTCTGTGACCTCTGCCACCTAGGACTCCGTGTATTCGCAAGTTCCATGAACCTCGTGTCTTGGGGACTGGCAACACGGTTCCTCATTAAGCCTTGCACATCCGACAAAATGCGCTGAAGCCCCGCTAGGCTGAGCTTCTCCCTCCACTGGCTTTCCTGTGTCTGGCTCTGGGCAAACACCCTCCTGAACTATGCGCAATCCGTCCTGCGAGATCCTGGCTTCGTCGCCGTGCAGCGCCTGGGCAACATTGGCCCCGGTGCGCTGGAGGGCTACCGATTTTGCAAGGCATGTGGCAAAGGCAAGCCGCCTGGGAGCCATCATTGCAGAATCTGCCGGCAGTGTGTCTATGACATGGATCATCACTGCCCTTTCATTGGCAATTGTGTGGGGAGGGGAAATCGGCGGAGCTTTGTGGTGTTCCTGTTCTGGGCGACTGTCTCCGTGTCATATGTCCTGGCTGTCACAGCTACGTATTGTTTGGACCACATGGATGACATTGTACAGAACCCTTGTCACAGTTTGGTAAAATTTTTCATCTTTATGGTAACAAAAAACCCAATAAGGAATACACATGTACATGTTTGATTTTAATATTATCCCAAGCATGAACTAGGAACGTGAATGACGTCATCGCAAAGCTCCCGCCGCTCTCAGAGCGGACCCTGCCTTTCTACATTACGAGACTCCTGGAGCACTCCTACGCAGGTGGGTGGTAGTCAAAATTATGGTACCTTTCTGGGTCCTTATTATAATACGGCACCTAATATTTAGGGTACCCAAAAGGGGCCATAATTTTGACAACTACTCAGGTGTGCATCTACATGCTGCTGCCCGGCTGCACCTCTGTAACCTTTGTGGCTTTGGCGGATCTGTGTCTTCGGGCTAAGATGGGATCATGAGTCGCCTGAGGCCAGTGTCTTGCTTCTCCTCTGCTGCACCGTCTTCTCCATGACGGGCTCCCTTCTCGCCAAGCAGATTCGACTCCTCCGGTCTGGTGAGACGACTATCAGCCGGCTCCGGCGTCGAAAGCGAGGATCGGGCCGCCCAGCAAGAACTTATTGGCCCCCCCTCCCTTTTGCCAAAGCTACCGATTTAGGGCGACCTCGCTAGAAGTAGCAAAGAAACTGCTGGTTTGAAATACGAGGCTACACCCTTCGCCAGAAGTCGGGATCAGGGAGCAACATCCGAGCAGCGAGCCCAACCTTCTCCATTGCTCCAAGCTGATCCCGAGCTCTTACCGAGGCACCTCAACGAGCACCAAGACCAGCTGCGACAAAGTTTTCGGGATTGGTCCATGGTGGACTTGGATCTTACCACAGCTCTACCCACATCGGGCCGTGACAAAGACTGTCTAGTTTTGCATGCGAAGCGCAGAAGCAGATATATCTGGAAGCGGCAACACCCCTTCAAGAAGTGGATCATATCATCCTGTCACCTCCGAGGCTTGGGTGGAGGAGGGCAACTACTGTCCCCAAGTCATGCCCTTCATTCGGAGAGCTCACCTCCCTTTAGCTGGCAGACGGCAAGGTTGGCATTCAGTAGTCTGTGCGTACCTGGCAAGCAAAGATTGAGGGTGAGGCTGGCAGCAGAACAGGCAAAACTCAACACTGCAAGCAGATGAGAGAGTGAGCTTGAATGGATGGCAGTGACCTCTGGTGGCATGAATGTGTGTCACTCCGCTTTTCTCGCTTATTCTGGTCCGGCGAAGAAGCATGGGCGGCACTCTGGGCGATGCGAGCCTCCTTGCGGCTCAGATGCCAACGGAAGATGGAGGCTTTCTCAGAATTTAGGGGCCGCTTTAAGTGTCCCTGTCTCTTAGCGCGAGGTATTCAGAGAACTGCCCGTAGGATTAGTAAGCTATACTGCGAGATCTAGGAGAAGACGCGATCGTGTTAGTCACAGCACCTGTGTTGGAAGCCGAGGATGGAAGCGGCAGCGAGGCCAGACGAGAGCGAACTGGAAGACTTGTCGAACACTAGCGACGGGGGCTGCTAGTGACGGAGAGGCGAACCATCGAGAACAGGCCTGTTGGGATGCGCGAAGAACCGTCGAAACTCGAACTGGGATGGCATGGATGAATCGAAGCGGCTAGCGCTGGCTCGCCCCCGTGACTCGGAAGAGCGACCCGCAGCACTTCGTCTGGCAGCCGGGCAGGCCTTCAGTCGAACTTCGCCGTGAAGCCTCTATCTGCCGCTATACCTGCAGCTGGTGTTCCCCAATCCAGCACGCCTTGACCACGCCAGCCGTTGGGCTTTTTCGGCAGCCTTCAGTCATCGGCTGTCCTGACAGGCCTGACTTTCACAGCTCAACTCTGCGAGTCCGTGGGAAATGCCCGAGCCGAGCTTTGCCGTCCCTTGGGTTTTACTGCATCCCTCCATTGTTACAACTTGTTGGTTCGTAGCATGTGTGGCTCAGATACAGCAGCAATCACCAGCATCCCAACCTGCCAGATGCCTGAACGTATCTGACGGCCAGCAAGCTAGGTCAGCTAGGTGCCGCTCGAGAAACCAAGTCCCAGGAGCTCACCAAGACACATGCTACAGGTAGTTCCGAGTGATTCCTTTGAGCATGCGACGGGGCGGCGCTGCCCTAGCATGGTCTTCTACGTCTTGGTGGCCGGATTGCAGGCGTCAGGGTGCAAGCGGGACGTGTAAGGAACCTACGCTTAGAGTGCCTTCATGCCCGACTGCAGGCGCGACCTACACCCTCTGATTCTGTTGGCGTTTTCGAACATCTGCCGGGAGGCAGCTGTATACAAGCTGATTGACTTTGGACTTTGGACAGAAAGTGAGGGTGTGCTTGCAGGAGAGGCCAACTTGGCTCCCCTGCCCGGGCATGAGAAAGAGCAGAAGACCGTCGTTGACGTTCTCGAGGCATGCAGCCATGTACACTCCTATATCAAGGGAGACTCCTGACAGGTACGTGCCACCAAGTTCTTCCGTGCAGTAGGAGCTGGTGCCGGACTGGAGGAGCTTTGAGTGCACAGAGAGGGGCAGGGAAGGCATCGTGAGCAGTTGTGACGCAGGATGCTTTGCCAATGCAAAGAACAAGTGCCCTGTTGCTTCTGGCCGTGCCTTCTGCCTTTTCCCAAGCCTTTCCAAGAAGAGTCTTTGAGTGCACCCTCGGTAAAGCATCATTACCATGCATTTCCTGCTGCCTTGCATTTCAGGAACTGACACTGGAGAGTTTACAAACTTTCCTTGGAGCAGACTCGGGGCCCCACCCCAAGCAGTCGCTGTACAAGCAAAATTTGCAATCACGCGCCAGCTCAGGCTTGTGGAAGGCGAGCTGGGCAGAGTGAAGGATGATTTTGATTTCCGACTGGCAAGCAGTTGCATCTAAATGACTCGTATTGCAGCCCGGGCAGGCATCGAGGCTGTTCGAGTGCTTTACCGACACAGTCGTCGTACAGGCCGTGGCCCCAACTGAACGTCCGTTCACGTGATGTTGTCTTTGCATGAGTGCTTGTTGTCTTCGCTCTGATGGCACTGCGAAGATGAAGACTTCTCTCTGGGATGTCTGGCAGTGTGATACCACAGCAGACTGACTGAACGATGCGCAGATTTTGACTGGGCGTTTCGGATGCATTCTCTGATCAAGAGCGGCTGCCCAGCTGTATGACGCCAGCTCTCGGATGGCCGATCCACGAAGATGTCGGATTTGTCGCCGAGACAGCCTAAGACAAATGTCAAAACAAAGCGGTGTCGTCTCGTCCCAGCTTGTTGGCAGTGGCTGATTCAGACCTGCGCTTTTGCAGTGCATCGCTGCATCCTTAAACCGTGCCGGTTGCAGAGACGACTTGCAACAGCATGAAGGTGGGATGCCACAGTGTCGGGCAGCAACCAGGGCGGCCAGTTCTGAGGGATGCTGAAGCCGCAGTGAAAGATACTGCCTGCATGGATACCGGAGAAGCATGCAAGTGTCGGTAACTCTGAACAGTTGTTCGCCGGTTGCCGGAGTGACAGAGCCTATACCATTCGAGGGCACTGTCTAATCTGCAGCCGGAAACCTCAAACATCGGCTCCGGACGTTTCTTTGGATGTTTGGTGCCACTGCCCTAAACCCTAAACCCAGAGGAAGCTGGCTCGACGGGGCACAGAGTTATCGAGGCTTAGCCCCCTTCCTAAGCCCCTACACCCGAAGCCCCCAACTTGGAGGTTCATGAGTAGTTATAAGTGGGGTTATAAGTCCCCTGATATGGGTTATATGTCTACTTACCCTACTTATAACCCTACGTATAACTACCCATGAACCTCCAAGAAACCCTTTCATGTCCATTTCGGGAGACCGCAAGGTGCCTTCTCCTGCCCTTCTCTCGAGGGAAAGTGCGCGCCTGGCTCTGGTAACAGTGGTTTTTACACCGCTTGGCACCCAGCTTTGTAGATCATTGTGGACCAAATTGGAAAGCTTTCTCTGGTGCTGAAGTGAAGGTCATCCTCCTGTGCCGCGACCAGGCCATCTTCGGCAAAAGCTTTCAATACCGAATTCTGAGAGTCGCGGGGAGTCACGGAGGCAGCCGCAGATGCCTTGTACAAGGCAAACCACGGGAGGCTCTTCACCTCAGGCAGAGACGTGTTGAACTTTGCTGAGTTGTTGGACCCAGAGACTCCAATATCCCTTAATCAAGGATTATACCTACTTTAATTTATAGTACATTCCTGTAATAAAGAAATATATACCATAAATTAAAGTAGTTATTCAATTCAGGGGATATTGGAGCCTCTGGGGATGGACCTTGCGTCTGTGGAAGCGCTGCGCTGCGCTGCTTGCGTCAGATCTCACGGCAGGTCGAGAGTCGCAGAGCAGCAGCGCCGGCAAGGCCTCTTTTGCGAAAATCTGGCAAGAGGGGAGCAGAAAGATCAACTTTTTCTGGGTTCTTGTTAATTAAGTTGCCATAAAAAGGAAACCATACTATTTACAACAGATCCCTATTATGGTAACTTACATTTACATTAAGGACCTTAACGAGAACCCGGTCTTCCCCTCCTCTCTGGCAGTGTCTGCGATTTGCGAGGCCGAATCTCGCAGCGGGGGTGCATGCTGCTACTTGACATTTCTGGAGGTAGGGCCCCGGCTGTCTGGTGCTTAGTAGGGAATGGGGGAATGGACCCCCATAGTAGTCCCAACATAATCCCCAAGAGTAGTCCCTAAACCCTAAACCCCCGTTCCCTGCTAAGAACCAAACAGCCCGTAATGGCCCCAAGGCCGCTTACTCTTGAGCCTGGGCTGGGGCCGGGGCTGGTGAGGCCATCGTCTACGATTTCAGCTCTGCCGAGCCGAGTCAGGGGCCCTGACTCATGCACGCAAGTGGGATAAGACTTTCAGGATGTCAGCCTAGACCCTCCATCTACCCTCTATTAGACCCTAAATGCCCTTTATTCGGGACCATATACCCCTATTTGAGGGTACAAAAAAGGTCCTGGAGTACTCTCTAAGGTGATCAGATGCAGCCGAACTTGGCGAGGGCCGACTCAGACGAGACGGATGAAAACCTCCGGAACATCATACCCAGCACTGCCTACGACGCCACCTCGGCTCGGCGTGCTCGCATGCGAGCCTCAACCTGGACTCCGTTGCTCCCAGGAACTGCCTTCGTGTCCGGTCTGCATCGAGCGCATCGATGTGTCGGGCACAGGCACGGACTCCCTCAGAGCAGAAGTCACATTTTTAACACCGAAGATGCCGGCGCGCAGGTATGGTCACTCATAGCCACGGCTGGATATCCGATGACGTGCAAAACGGCCGGCCGCCCACCTGTCGGGCCTGTGCGGCTCGAGGCTGAGACACAAGCAGAGGATCTCCCTGGCCAAGGGCTTTCCTTACCGTTGGTTAGTAGGGAATGGAAGAATGGGGTACAACTATACCTACTATTACTACCATTCTTCCATTCCCTACTAACCAACGGTAAGTTTCGGAGGATCACCGGAGCTGGGGGTCAGGGGCCCGGTTGTGTCTCAGGTCATCGCGACGCGTCCAGCTACAGACCGGCCAGGCACTTGGTGGGAGAGCCGTAGCCGTAGCGCTGGCGTGGCGCATCGGTGGTTCTGATCGCGGTAGTAGTCTGGTGACGCTGATTGCTGTTATGATCTGCATCTGGCGCCTTCTCATTGTCCTCATCCTCATCCACATCTCCTCATCATGATCGTTGTACTCACCGCCAGGCCAAGCGCCAGGACCAGCATCATGTCATGTCTCATGCTGCTGCTTCTGCGCCCCCTCCTACTTGTAATTACTGTTGCTGCTGCTGCTACGGCCACTGCGACTGCTACTGGGCCTGCTGCCGCGCTCCTGCTCCTGCTGCTCCTGCTGCTCCTGCTCCTCCTGCTCCTGCTGCTACTGCTACCACCACTCCCAC